GACTAAACAAGGCATGGTCTTCAATGAGACAAGAAGTGAGAAGAAAAGAAGAAACCCAACTGAAATTCCCAGTTCTGACTCAGCATGTAGCTCATTCAACCTCCTTCCCCCCACCCATGAGATAAGCATGATTTCTTGCCTTAATAAAGCCCTTCTGGACCTTCAAACTGAAGGGGCTGCAGGCACCGATGATGACCGTCAAAGAATACATGAACAGTTTTCCCTAGCTTTGCCCTGCTGGGCTTCAGGACACTGATTTATGTAGCACTTTCATTATAAGACCATCAGGTGGACATTGTACCTGCTGTAAGTACAAATTGCTATTATGTTAAGCAAAATGGCAGTTCCTCTTCTGACCACAGTGATCTGCACCTCTACTTAGTCTGTGTCTATCATGCCTTTTATGCAGACACTTGGAGGAATGTGAGAAACGGATTCAGCTTCACAGGGGATAAGTGTGAAGCTGCAGCATTGCTTCAAAAGCTACAAGGAAGATACCTAATCCCCATCCTACAGTGGGAAAAGGTTCTGTTTGCAGTCCTGAATTTCAAGCGGCTTTCAAATCTCCAACAGCTGAGGCTTACCCCAAAGTCTGTCTGGGAAGTTTAAATATGTAAAGTTTAACACTTTTGGTTTGCCCCCATTTATTACTGAATTGTTCAATATCTTTGGAGTAAGGCATTTGCTACCAGGGCTGATATCACATCATTTAAACCAGGAATAGGAGTCACAAAAGAGTTTTCCACTCAACTGGAAACCACATTCAGGCTTGGCCTCTTCCGTAACTGAAACCTGCACACTTGAGGGATCCCAAGCACAGCCTCTATTCATTTTCCACAACTGTGCTAGAAAAGTCATTACATCCAGTTATAATGGCTCAGGACAAATGTAAGGACAGGAAACAAGCACTGCTCAGACACACAATGTACTTGTTTTCAAGAAACAAAACTTGACTTGCAGATTTGCTCAATTTTGCCAAGTATCTGCTCATAGAACTCAATCTTTGACAGCAATTAATCTTAATTGGAACACATCACTTTATTCTATAGCTTCATCTTAATACATATACACAGCTGAAACACTGCAGCCCAAAGTGGTTTGAGAACTGACAGCCCACGAGTTCCTCCATAATTATTATCAGCAGCTTGGGGGCCTGACTCTGCGAGGTGAATTTATGCAGATGGAAGACTAGTTTGTGTCAATGTAAGTATTTTTACATGCATTAAAGGCTGTTACACACAAAATTAGCTTATACAAATTGGTCTCTTACTCACGAATCCCTTGTCATTTTCCTATCATCCGTACACTGCATTGGGATTTGCGGACAGAAGTTACTCAGTCTTTGTAAAAAGGATGTTTCCAAAGATCTTAAACTGAAATTTAACTCCCCCAGTTCCTAACCACGTAAATCTGCTAAAAACATCTTGCGAGGCTTAATTGCTTAAGTCAATCTCAATTCAGCAGAAACTGACTGAAAATACCATGGAACATACTCTAAACTCACTATAAATACAGATCCTTGATCTTCTGACAAGGCAGAATAGCAGCAATGGGTAGCAGTTATAAGTAAGGGCTCTTGCATTGTGCTTCCAAACTCCCCTCTGCTCCAACTCTTCCATCTGTTTAAACATAATAAAACACTCAATACTGCACACACAAAATGTAAGTCTCATATGGCAGGCAACCTTGTGTGCAAAATACAGCACTGTGCAGACTGAGATCTCAGGCGTTTTACAATCTCTATTACGAAAACCAAATCATATTGCAGCCATTTCCAAGCGTCTGATCAGTTACTGAGATCTCAAAATACTTCAATAAAAAGTACAACTTCCAGAGTTTTAAGCACTGGAAGAAATAACACAGATGCGGACTGCCTCAAAGCATCCCAAAATGGGTTAGATCATATTGCCATCTCCCTGGGACACGGGGGACAAAACCATCCAAGGACCCAAGAAATGTCTGTTTCAGAAAAAACAATCATTGTTCCATAGTTTCAACAAAAGAAATCTAAATAATGACAGTAATGTGTCATTAAGAGCCCAGTACATCTCTATTACTGGTTATCCAAAGGGAAATGCAGCATAAACACAGCAGAATGCAATGCAAGAAGACGGGACGGTATGGTGAGCTGGATAGCAGCTAAACTCCTGGAAGCATGGGACAGCGGTAACAGGTTTTACCCTGTACAGACTTATTTCAGATGCACTCTAAAAAGCTTTGCATCCTCCTCTTAGGACATAGAATTACAGCAAAAAAAAGGGATTTAGAGGATCACCAGAGGCCTTCAAGAAACATCCTTAGGCAAGAAACCAACTTCTTTTCAGGGTGTGCTACGACTGCCACGTCCACTACATGGGTTCAGCACCACATCCAAAGAGGAGAATCCCATTTGCTGTCTGATCAGCAAACCCTATGCAGTTGGAACAGTTCCGCATGGAAAGAGACTTACAGAACCGGAACTTCCTGGTAATTTGGAGTGCAGCAATCCTGGATATTGAATGAGACATGGAACACAAAAATCATTCAGGCCTTTAAGAATTTGCTAAACCCCTGCACCGCCAACAGCTCTCAGACAGGAGCAGGGTCTAACAGACTCAAGACAGACTTAGCAGCAAACCCAATGATCTTCTAAACCAGTGTTAAGTCTAAAATCTCATAATTCACTTTTTTTCTTAGCGGTTTCCTTTCCAAGCACTAACCAGACTAATTTTATTTAGCTTGCAAAATCGGACAAGATCACAGCCTGCAGGGGAAAGGCTGCCGTGATAAATATTTAATGGGCTACATCAATAAAATTCATTTTGCCAAGGAGAACGGAAGGAGAGGAAAAGCTGAGAAATAATTCATTAAAAGAACCTCGGCTTAGCAATGCCAGGGAAAAAGCCAGGGTAGAAAAAAAGGAATTACATACAAAGAGATTTTATATAGGTCAGAAGCTTAAGTACTCTTAACACAGGGCAAATTGACAAAGAGCAGGGTTTCTCAGAATGAACTACAGTGATAGGTATACTTAATAGTAATTCATCCTATTGAAAATGAATATCCCTGGATACACTAGTAACAGTTTCAACTTCTTGCTGTTGGTGAGGTTGGACAATAGGAATACCTTTTATCATCCAACCTAAGACCTGCTTAGTACATGGAAGTTACACTGCCTAAAATCCATTAAGAAACACAACAGGGACCTTGAAGTGTCTTTTACATCTGAAAGCAACAATCTCCCCTATTTCATATTGGATGCGGCCATAAGTTATGTCTTCCAGAAGACAAAAATGCAACAGCAAGAATTAAGGTATTTAGTACAAAGATGCAGTGCTCCCCATACCTCAGTGCAGAGCTTTGTATCTGCAACTTACAGCATAGAATTTGCAAGAATTGTTTAATCCCTCTTTCCTGCCTGGCAATATTTGAAGCCGTTTGCAGTGATACAAGGAGTATGCACCACCTCTTCCATATACTCTCCTGCTCCATCCAATCCGGACTTCTGACAACCAGAGGTCAGCACACTAGGTGAGGTGCAACATCAGAAACAGTTGCGTTTATGTTGACTAAGCAACCCCAGGAACATATTGTTTCAAATTCCAATTCTGCATCTGCCAGTGACTTCCTACATGGCTTTGAATTACTGGATTTGGGATTACTTTTTTATTGGGTAAACTGGAGAAGCACATACCGTGCAAACAGCAGCAGAGTCTCAGGACAAGCGGATTACATGGTAATAAAACACTCCACAACTGCTTCAGTGAGATATGATAAGAGGTAACATTTTAAAATGTACTGTGTCAGAAGACTTTGACTGAAAATGATTTAAGAGTTTTGTGGGTGAAGTCACGTTACTTAAACCTCCCAAATGGTGAAATACAAACATTACTTTAAAAAGGCAAATTGTGTCAATAACCACAACCAAAACCTCACTCCTCAGCAGTGCTGGCACAGGACAAATGCTCAGCATTATGAAGCAGTCAAGTCTTCACATAAGTGGTTAAGGGCTGCCCTCTAGTGAAGGCATAAAACTGTTTCAGCATCTTGGCTCTTGGATGTTACTGTCCAAAAAAGGTCCCTCCTGAAGTGGACAGACATTAGTCACAACTTATTCTCGAAGCAGGATTTTCATTGTAGCAGATTACTTACCATCTTTTGGTTCATGTATTAAAAATATAAAAGAGGTAGCCACTTCAGGACCAAAGTGATCAGAAATGTTGTACCTGGCAGCAGATGAAGACCCAGCCACATGGGCTGTAAAGCAGTCCTTGCTAGGTGATCCTAATGATATCAGAATTTCAGAACCGATTTAAAAATCAAGCATGATGGATACTCAGGATGCTTTGCTTTCACAGAAAGAACAGGGTCTTCCTTAGGAATGAATTCCATGTTACATACCAGTTGTTTTTGTGACTCTTAGGAGGCACAACTGAAGGTGGTATTGCTCACATTTTGGCTTAGTCTGGCTTTAGGCTATAGTTGGCCCAGTAAGTTGAGCTGAGCTACACCTCCAGCATCACTAGGGCTTCATATTAATTTGCTCCTCCAGCCAGCAAAATACAAAATACTTCTCCAACCCAGCCTCAAATGAACACAGCCAATGGAAAAGCTCAAGCTGAACGCATGGAGCACAGGTTACAGCTTACACGAAAGTCATGTTCTCTGTTTCAGCACTGGAATACTTCATATGCTTATAACTGAAGACACTGAAGTATTTCTTTTAGACATTAAGTGTGAATGCCAACCATTAAAATCTACTTGCTTACACAAAACACTGGAAAAAGTTGAAACAACTTGCCTGAAAATTTATCAGGTACATTTATTAAGGAAAAACATTCAAAAAGACATATTCTATTAATTTAATTTTTTAGCTTCCATATAAAATAAAAAAATAACTTGTTTGATTTTGCCAGCATACACATCTGCAGGTTACACCACCTAGGGAAAGATCAGTACAGAGAATTTAGTTAGTATCTGCCAGTTAGCAATCACAACATTTCAATCATTAACACACTTCGGGGTCTAACAGAACTACTATATTACTGTCAAGGCTCCAGGTCTTTCCAGTTTCCCAAGAAGAGGTTAAGGTGTACAATAAAATCCCATCTGCACACAAACTATGATTCAAACTTCAGTAATTTATGTAACCCAAGCTGGAAAGCGAGTGTGGTCTCACGACTTCATAACAGGATCAAGCCAAGTATCTGCCAGCCTACAGCTCTTTTTAACAGCAGTGCCTATGAGTATGATTTAAATATGCTAAGATTTTTAACACTGCTGTCAACAGGACTGAGCAGCAGTTTAGTTGAACTACCAACTCCCTGTAAAGGTATTATTGGAAAAGCAGAGATTGAGAAGACAACCCTGACTCCTGCCCACCATGTGGAGCCTACTCCATGAGTGCTTCAGACAGTACAGTTTTGGATTACTGAGTATCAAGAAATTCTTACTGCCAGCTATAAAGGAGTAGAGGTAGCAAAATCAAAAGAAGGTTTCTCAAGACAGTGTTGTCACAGTTTTAATGCTTTTACCTCAGTTATTGGTTCATCTTCTCCTTATCTTCTAAAAATCTGAATAATGTTTCAGCCTGAAGGGGATTAAAAACCAGTTGAGACATTTAAAACCTGTTGAGTGAACAACACAAAGAAGCAACAACTTCTTCACTGAGCCTGACCACCACTCACAGGATGGCAGAATGGGTTTTGAGGCTGGCAGGGACCTCCAGAGGTTGCCTGGTCCACACCTCTGCTCAAAGTACGGAAGGAGACAACTGCCCTGAGGCAAGCTGCCCTGAGGTAAGAGACAGGGCCATGTTCAGATGGCTTTTGAGTATCTCCAAGGATGGAGTCTCCACAGCCTGAGCAACATGTGCCAGCATTCAGCCACCCTCCCTCCAACGATGCTCTTCTTTCTGCCTTTACAACTGGAACCAAGCGATGGCACAGATGTTAACACTGAAGCACACATCATCTTTTAATCCTCTGAACTGTTTTTCTCATGGGAAGAGCATCCTCTATCTGCCTTTCTGCATCCTATTAATTTCAGAAAAGGACAACGACTATTTGGTAGGGATGTCTACAGCAGTATCTTATATGCAACCAAACAAGCCTCATTCTCCAGAAGGGAAAGCCAGCTCCGCACTCAGTAAAGTCATCAGGTAAAATTCAGTTCATTTGTCAAACCTTATCTGCCAGTCATCTGCCCCATCTTACAAAATATAACCATGTTATCTGGGATTAATGAACCTAACTTAGTACATACCTAAATAACAGAGCTTTGCCTTTGTTATTTGCTATAGAGAAATAGCCACTTCTGGGAGAAAAGTCCATAGATTGAGCAAGATAAATCTGTTTTCTTCTGAACACTGGGAAGTTTGAGAATACAGTATATGAAGGAATGTGTACCTATTGAGAAACAGGTCATTAGTTATAACAATTAGGAAAAAGCCACTAAAATTCATATTAAAGTACAAACTTAAAATTGAATGTCAATGTTAAGTTCAAATTTTCAGTTGTAGTCCTATCCTACACCACTCACATATAGAGCTCTAGAGAAAAGGTGCAGGAAACACATTACGAAGCCAGTTATTACAACTCATTTATTTTTAATTACATGTAAGCAGTAAAATAGGCTTCTGAACCCTCAGATTAATTCAATAGTTCCACTGCTGGCCAGAATTCTGACAAATATGGCAAAATTTTGAATAAGCTATGGAAAACACCACACAGTAAGCCCAGTTAACAGCTGCTGAAAATTCATGTTTTATGCTGAGCTCTATGTACACCACTGAAATAAAGGCATGTTAAGAAGGGAAAAACAAAAGGGAAACTACACCATAAGATGTCATTTTCAAAACACTTCCCTGAATAAAAAATACTTCATTATAAATGTAAGGTATCTTGTACATGAACTGATCCGCTCTGTCTAGCAAACTGTGCAGTCCATCTGCTCTCAGTATCAGGTTTTGTCATGTCACCAGCAACATTTCTGATCAAGATACAAGAAGCTTGCACTAAAGCTGCACATACCAGTTTGACAGCCTCATCGGTTTCACGGGAAGCCACTGCCAGGATTTCTGTGGTGGGATTGAAGGTCACACACGTAGCAGATGTAACGAGGTTCATTATGGCTTTGACTGGCTTAGGACGGTGCTCTTTGAGACAGCCATCGGTGGTATATAAATTCACAACTCCAGAAGCTGAACTACAGAAAGAAATTAACAAAGGCTATACCAAGAAGCCACATTTACCTTGTTATTCATAGTCACATATCCAATAGTTTACCTAAGTTTGTAACGGTATTTTGTGTGGATCTTCATTTTGCTTTGGAGTTTATGACAGTATTTAGTGGAGTTTATATTTGGGATTATTTATTTATAAAGACACATGCTGAAGTGCAGACAGCTTTAATAAGCCCATCTCTTATACAGCATCAATTCAATGCAGTGAGTGCCTGGTATCAAAAGACTCTCAAAGATTCAAGCTTTTGATTTTTTTTCAATACTCTCTAAAGTTCACTTAAAATTCCTCTTCTACAGTGGGCTAAGAAAATGCATACTGTACTTAATATGTGCTAGTCTGATTTAAAAGAATCCACGCACTAGCTGAACTTGCATCTTGGCAAGTACACGTGGGAAAACACTTTCAAGCTTGCGGCTTTGAGTTGAAGCATCATTTCAAATGCTAACATGTTATCTTGCAGAAGCCAAATTATAAGCCTAGAAAAGAGAACTAGAAAAGGGGGAAGAGCCTCAATCAACATTTGTACTACAGAATTTGTGATTTCAATCGGTATGATTTCAAAATTAGCTTCTAAACCCATATATGGCAACAGTAATACATTAGGAGTGATACTGGTGGCACATGTTATGGTATTTTAGATACACAGAGAACAAATTAGGTTATTATCACAAACCAGGCAATATTCATCTATTTACCTCTACTCTAACCTTATTAGAAACAAAGTCCTTTCATGTTCCCACACTCTCACCAGCCACCAGTAAGTTTACTGAAGAACTTCTAGATGAGACAGGAGGAAGCTGTCAAATCCATGTCACTTACCCACATGCCACATACTGGTTGTTTTTTGAAAGAGCGATGCACTTCCCTTCTAAAGAGCCTTCATCTTCAAATTTGTGTAGACACTTTCTGCTTCTCACATCCCAGATGAAAACTTCGCCTTCCTCTGGTTGCAGAATAAAGTAGGTCACAGAAACCGTATATAGAGAACACATTTGTTGTCTACTTTGTTATAATGAATTTCATTAGATGACAACTATTATCTCATTTACAACTATCAAATACAGGGTGTTTAAAGAAACAAAACCAAACAACTAAAGGCATACTAAAATAGTTGATTATTATTTAATGATTGATCATTTGGTTGTATTTTTAGGCCAGATACTGGCATAGTCTTTTAACCATCTTTGTAAAACAATGACTTAGAATAACTTATGCAACTTAAATAGGATTATGATTAGTGATGTTAGAAAGAATACTTACTTGAATAGCTATATACTTTACTGCTGTCTGGAGTGAAAGCTGATGCGGTGCATCTTCCATTTACTTTCATAGTGCTTATCAGTTCCTTTGTCTACAGGATGAACAACAATGGTAACTATGATTCTACCAAAAACTTGTAGTAAAGCTGCTGCCATACTCCTGTCCCACAAAATTAACTACACTGACATTAAAAGAACAAAGTTTTCAGTGCCTGAAGGCCACGCTCGATTTGTTATTGCTCCACTACAGAACTGAGCATCCTTTTTAAGAAGTATTTTTCTTAGTAAAAGTTTAAAACGAAACCAGCTGTCATCGTATGGCATTTTGAAACTGAAGAAATTCTGTATGCATTATGAATCACAGTAGATGGCGTGATTCACGAACGCAGTACACCAGCATGCACTAGAGCTGCTCCAAAATAAGCAGTCTTATGTTTCTCCCACCCTCAGTTGCCTGTTTCCATGCTGACACCATTCCTTTTGCCAGCACAGTGTTCGTGCGAGCAGCTGACATACAACACTGACATACAACTGTTCCCAGTGATAGCTTAAAACCCTGTCAAACTCCAGCCTTAGCTCTCATACCTTTGTTTTTACCAAGAGCTAAATCGCTTTTAAGATTAAACATAACTCATCAGATCCAAGAGAGGAAAGATACCAAGGAACTGAAGCATGAAGAGAAACTACCTTCATTGACAACAAGTGAAGGTAACCTGAAGTTCCAGTTACAAGCATAAATGATCCATCTGGAGAGAGTTCGAAGCTTCTGAGGAATCTTTCCTCCACACCTTTAAAAAGAGATTCAGAACTTCAAATGGGCATAATTTATTCTTTTTCCTCAACATTCAAAAGTACAATGCATGTGAGTAAGACTGCTTCAGCTTTTCATTTCTGCAGTACATTGTCACAGTAAAGCTACAACTAACTTTGTTTATGTGCAACAACTGGCTTTTAATATCCCAGATTAAAGCTACTGGTACATGACTAGAGATCCCTGACGACAAGTTAAAAATATAACCTCCAACAACTCACTGCATTTCCTCTTAAAGCCAATTCGTATCCATCTCTATTTGAGACAGCTTCAGCTATGCCCAGACTCTTACAGCACTATGTAACGTACCTCTTACTTTCTGTATAGGAATGATACGTCCACTCATCATGTCATACACAAAGAACATTCTGTGGTGAGTACCAGTGGCTATAACATGTTCTCCATCAACACTGAAGCAAGCCTTATAAACTGGAAAACTCTCTAAGTAGATGCTCTGTATTTTTGGATTCTTTATACCATCAACCTTCAAAAACAAACAGATCCCATTAAGGAACATACCAAATACTTCTGCATAGAAAATTCCTATCAACTAGCCAGTACAAGAGACTTAAACAGTAAGAGATACACCAGTTTAAAGCATTAATTTCTTCCTCTCTTCTCAATCTACAAATAACCTGGCTCTAGCTCTTCACTCTGTGTATCAGGTACTCCCAGCCTTCCTGGATTTATTTCACACCTCTTACCCTTCCCTGTCTTGCACAGGCTTTGGTCAAATAATCACTTCTACTGTGCTTCTCCAATGGAAATATTTACGTTGCATTGTTCTTTCCTGAAGACCCTTTGCCTACTTCAGGTATACTTATAAAAAAAAGTTCCATATTAGAGGCCATTTACATCCTATAGATTGAAATTCTTCACCTGAAAGAGCGACACGGATCGATCATGTCCAGCAGTCATGACTACTTGAGCAGATGGATGAAACTGCACAGTAGCCAGTCTTCCATTAGCAAAACGTTCCTGATTAGCAGGCAAGCAGATCCCCATCTGAAACACAGAGCAAGCAGTTGAAACAATCCCATGTAACTGACATTTTTGCTTACGCTGGTGAATGGCAAATTTAATTGTCCTTTATTCTGCAAGAGCAAGATCTCAAACCCTGAACTTTTGACAGCACAATGTAAGTGGAACATAGACAAACTTGCTTCAATGCAGCGGTGTAGACTAAGATGACCTAGCCAGCCACTCTATTGACTTTGAAATTAACAGTCTGTGTAAAACTAGCTGCATTCAGACGTGTCTGAAATAGCTGTAGGAGACAGCTATACTTAAGAAGCACTCATTTAAAGCTGTCATTTCTCAAAGGCCATTTCAGAAGCCGCAAAGTTGTGGGATAATAATATCCCTCCTATACAGAAGTTAAAATCCTACAAGATGCTGCTTTATAGTACATAAAATAATTCTTGTGTCAAACAACACATCTTAATTTGTTTCATGCTTTCATGATAGGAACTGTTCAATCTGTCAAATTATTCACCCTCCAGGGTTTCCAGTTACAGAAACAAAGAAGAAATTCACACAATCACAAATTCTAGCACTCAAATATCAACAAAGAAGCCAAAGCATGCATATGGGTCAAACTGAAGTGGAAAGATGAGGCTTGACTTTACCTTCAAAATACCTCTTGGCAGGGACTCAGAACTTGTCACAAAATTGCCAGTCCTGCATAGCAGATCATCATCTTCATCACTCTCACCTCATAAAAACAAAGTGCATTAAACATTCCCAAATCTTCATTCACGAAGTCAAGGCATCATCATAGCATTGAACAGACTAAATCCAAAAACACTTCCACATTAAAAGCTAGAAAATCCTTACAGAAACAAATTAAATCAAAGCACACTGAAGGAATAAAGCTGACTTTTGCAGCATATTAGAATACTTCTGAAACTGAGAAAACATGAAAATAATTATTTAAGCTGAATAGGAAAACACAGCAACACTTATTAGAGTAGTAATGGATTTATATTTACTATCACTTGCAGTCTTGGATTTCTTCCTGTTTTCCAAGTCAGCCCAGGCAGGAACTCCTCCCATAGCTCGCTGAAACCTAGCAAGAGAAGGGTGAGGGGGGAAGAGGGGGAAAAAAAAAAAAGGCAAACTCTTGAGAAAGTAATTTCCTTCTATGTGTTAAGTACTTACAAATGTACAATCTGCAGGATCATTTGCATCTGCAACACTATACAAGTTTGCTAAAATTTCCCTCAGCTTTCTGTGTTTTGCTGGCTTCCTAAATGTGAAACTAAAGCAAAACTGGTACCAAGCATTTAAGCACTCTTCTTTGGAGTGATACATGCTAATACCATGACAACCCAAACACATCTACTTTGCTATTCCTATTTCAGTTCATTCTTATACACCATACTAAGGGAGCATCTTCAATCATACTATTTACGATACAGTGTGTCAATATAACAAACTTTGGTGTAACCCCCTAGAAGACAAATTAAGTCTGTGCTCCTCTCCTAACACAAGTATTAAACCAGTTAGTCTAGACAACATTGATGCATATTTTATTCACTATTCTTAGTATTAGTTTGGAATTATAAGCAGATACTGTAAGAAGCACTAGCTATAATCAGGTCATATAAATACAGCAGGTAAAGAAGAAAGTGACTTTGAACAAGGCCAAATGCAAGGTCTAGCACCTGGGTTCAGGGCAGTCCCATGAACTATAGGCTGGGCAGAGAGTGGATTGAGAGCAGTCATGAGAAGGACCTGGGGATACTGGTTGACAAGAAGCTCAACATGAGCCAGCAGTGCACACCTGCAGACCAGAAAGTCAACCATTTGACAGGTCCTTTCCAACCCAAACCATTCCAGGATTCTATAATATCTCATAAGCTTATTTCATATTAATAAAATTAACAAAACTCACTGTTCTTCAAGCCTTCTTTTTAGCTTTTTCTTAGTAAGTGTCTTCTCAGCATCACTTTTCATGAAGTCTTTCCGGTACCTATGCGTCATATCAACACTAGAGGGGAAAAACCACATAAGAATATGAAGATTACTCAAACTGAAGCTGCTTTCTATTACTCTTAAGTCTGACAGCCAGTTCTTCCCTTCAAACTTGAACTTACTTTTCCTCTGCTTCATCATCTTCATCCACCCAGGCTGGCTTTTTTGTCAGTAAATTACCTTTTGCTTCATTTTCTACTTCTGAATCACTGGAGTCCTTCTGGAGAGCTTCCCTCTCTGGAGCATTAAGCTGAAAAGAACCAAAGGGGCCATTTTAGCCCAGCTACTGATGGCTACAGGGAGATGCAGAGAGGGAAGATGCAGGGACAAAGAGACAGGGGAAGCTCCACAACGCGCCTGGTCCGGTGAGGCCCAGGGGAAGATCTGCCCACGGGGCCCCGAGCCCTACCTGCTCAGGGCCAGCCAGGCACTGCAGCAAGTCATCCTCCTCCACGTGGACAGTGTCACCGAACACCAGCTCCTCCAGCTCCCGCTCGGCACCTGACGCGCAGGAGAGCTCCTTCAGGTGCCGAGCGCGGCGAGCCGCCTCCTCGGCCGCCTGCCTGGCCGCCGCCCGCTCAGCTGCTGCAGCCGCAGCGGCCATCGCTACGCTATCGGTCCGCCGCTTCACTGTTTTCTTTGTTTTAGCCGGTTTCTCTGTTTTAGCCATTTTAGACGTTATTTTCCTGTTACTTTTGTTCCTCCCGCCCGCGGCGGCCGCCGGACCCGGACGAAGCGGGCCCGTCCCACACCGCATCTCTGCTCACCGGAACGCGTGCTCGGCAATCACGTGACACTTTCTAGGTACACCCTCCCTGAGCCCTGTCCCGGGGTGTGATAGGCTCGTACAGCTGCCCCTCCTCAGCCCACGTGATTCCGGACGCTTGCGTCTCTCATAAGGCACGGTCACGTGATCTTTTTTCTTTGCCTTTCTTTCTCCACCCTCCCACTCCGCTTTCCGCGTGACGCGGCCCATGGGTGGGCCGCTCCATTGCGCGTCCAGAGAGGGTTCCCCCTTCCCATATGACAACAACAGCCGCTCACCGGTGGCCCGGCGGCTGCTCTGAGTTGTCCGCCATTCACCAAAAGGCAAAACGAGCCCCGGCGGAGCTGCTTTTACCCCTTCGACCTCTGCCCCTGAGCCGAGCTCCCCCCCGTTTCCGAATGGTTTCCCCCAGAGGGCTGTACGGAGGGCGAGGAAGCCCCAAACAGGCTGGAGGCCAATGGTTGCGCGCTGTGGGCCGGCCGCCGCGCCTGCGCAGCGCCGCCATGCTAATGTTGTTGATGTTCCGGCGCACGGAGTTGGGGTTCTTCCTCCGGCGCGCTGAGGGGCTGAACTTTGTGGGCCGCCTCCTGCCCCGCCGGGCCCGGCCCCTCGCAGGGGGAGGCGGCAGGCGGAGGGGGCCGAGCCGAGGGGAGGGGGCAGAGGCAGCGGGCGTCTCCTGCCCATGAGGGCCTGATGGAAAACACAAAGGACCTGGTGAGTACCACAGCCCGGGGGGGGGTGCTGCGCTGAGGGGGCGAGCGGCTCTTGCGCCGCCTGAAGACAGCGGTGGAGGGCAGCCTGAGGGGCCAGTGCCTGTGCCCGAGATCGGCCGCAGTACCTGTGTGTGAGGGGAGCAGTTCCAGCACCCCCGGTTTGGAGGGGGGGGGGGAGCGGCGCGGCTCTGTGAGGGGGCGCGGAGCAGGGCCGGCGGAGCGCGGCCGCGGAAAGTTGCTTGTGGGCAGCCCCGCGGAGCCGAGCCGTGCTGCGCTGCGGGGAGCCGCGCGGTGCGATGCCCCGGGGCCGGGGGTGGAGGGGTAAAGCCGGTCTGTCACCCGCGGAGGGGCCGCGGGCACGTGGGGGCGGGCAGCGGCGCGTCCCCTTTGTTGTGCGGGCGGAGCGCTGCCCCGGCCCCTCGGGCCGCGCTGGGGTTTTCTCCTCCCTCTCCTCCTGCTTCCTGCCGGCTCTCGGGATCGACTGGGAAAAGTTTCAGGCAGTCTCGTCCTGAGCGGTTCAGGCGCACTCGGGCACGGTTCTCGCAGTGATCTGCCGAGGTGCTGGCTTCTCAGCAACTTCCTTCTGTCGATAAAGCCTTTAAGGTTTATTTTCCAGTGGTGCTCATTTCAAGTGCTGTAGAGTAGCCTTGAATATTAGCACTTCAAAAAGTTTAGGGTTGTTTGCATCCAGTTCCCCCCTCTATGTAATTTTAATGACTATTAGTATCGTGACTTTGTTCTCGGTGTGGGGAGCTGTAAACCCGTGAAACCAGTTTCACTTTTAGACTGTTGCTGGGAATGTTTTAAAGTGTAGCAATTTCTGACCAGTGTGGCTTTAAAATAAAAAAGTCCTATTACAAAGCATATGCTGATTATGCTTAGAAACTACTGCGTGTGAAAAAGTAATTCATTTGAAAATAACGATTTAAAATGTGGGTGGCAGCCCTTGTGATTGTTTTCTTCACATCTAGAAGCAGTTAAAGCTGAAGGGCAGTTTTCTGTGTATAAAACTAAAATTACTTTGCAGGTTTGAGAACCTGTATTTGCTCATTTGTTGCATTTGTTTATAACAGTCTGGTTTTGCTGGTGAGGAAAGACAATAAAAAGGCTGAGTCCAATCAGGATCATCAAATGGGCACTAAACCAATATATTCCTTTAAGAAGGCCATCAGCTTGGTAGGTTAGCAGTGTCTGCTCGTTGTTTCTGCCTAGGGATCATATTGAAGACGTGTGGAATGTGACCTATAGGGAAGCATAGCAGAGATGTGTGCTCTCCTAAGTGGTAGTTATTGTTTATGCCACAAGAATAGTTGAGGTGGTGGTGTTGAGAGCATATAGGCTTGTGCACAGGACTGTAGACTGAAATTAAGAATTCTCTTCATTGTTGTTCCCTAAAGAAGAACTAGATGACAATGTATACAAAAGTTCTCTCTCCTTGGCTTTCATTTCTCTTACCTTCTAAAATTTGATTCAGTTTTGCAAGGCTTTTGATACCTTCTGCAAAGTACTACTGCATACCTTCATTTCTCAGGTAAGTTTCACTGGGCATGTGTAATGTTTTGCTGAATCTGGCTCTGAGCACATGGAATGAATTCTGGTGTTGAAGACTTTAGTTTTGGGTTGGTGGTGGTTTTGGGGTTGGCTTTTTTTTTTTTACATTTAATTAGTTTGCTTTCTTTTGTTTTTATTGGAAACATAGTGTTTAAAGCAAAGTATTTGCCTCTTCCAGATACTCTTGCAAAAGCTTTGTAGAAGCATAATGGAGTTTGTAAAAGATTTTCAGTTTTCTCAGAGCTCAGCTATTTCACATATTAATCATCACCTCCCCTCCAAAATTGCCTGCTAATTTGATATATTTTTTTATGAAAGAGTCTTCCCTCTTGTGTGAAACCCTCTGGGGAAGAGGCTATGGACAAAACCATTGGCAAACAGCAGAAACTGGCTTCAGACAAAATGCTGTCATACATAGCAAATGAAGAGACAGGAAAAAACATTTCTGTAATTTTCCAGCAGAGATTTTACTTATAATAAGAGTGGAAGGCACATTTCCAGATAGAGGTGAGTTGCTTATATTAAAAAAAGTAAGTTTGGTTGGTTCTGATTTCCAGGAATCCCGAGATGTTTAGCGTTGGGGTTTTTTTGTTTGTTTGTATTTAACAAAAGCTGAAAGTATGTTTTCTTTAAATTGGTACCATGTTTGAATTTTCCTTTTTTGTGATGCTACAAGGCACAATTAGATTTCAGTTCCACAGGGGGCAAGCTAAGATTACTACAGTAAATTATTTTGGCCAGTTTATATTCAGAAGAGTTGTAATAAATTAGTTCTCTCGTGTTGTTTCCTTAGTGCTGACATCCAGAGCTAAAACTAAGCTTGTAGCATAAAACATTCATGAACTTTGGAAAACAAAAGCTGTGCATCAGATTTAATACTGACTTGGAAATCCACAATGGGAAACGCACTATCTGTGAAGGATATGTGATTAAAGTAAATCTGTCTTATCACAGACCTTTGGCTTGAAGGTTGTGGTGACCTCACTGTTGACCTTGGCCTCAGATACCATCTGTCAATACTTCTGTCATGTTTCTGGGGGTTAGAGCTGAGTATAGAAAGTGATGCCTATCTGTATAGGTGCTGGTAGGCCTTTGTTAAGTTACAGCTCATGTACTCCAGCTCTAAAATGTGCCATTCTGAATTCAAGCACTGAATGAACTCAGTAGTAACAACAACAGTGGGTTTGAGTGGTTTAAAGCCTTTCTGTGGTTGTGGATCATCTTGCTTTGGCCAGGATGCACTTAATTGGGGGCAGGAGATTTGCTTATTTAATAATGGGTTTTTTCGTATAGCAAGTTTTCACCTTGAAAACACTTGTAAGTTTTGCCAATACTTGAGCATAGTCTTCTTCAAGACACTAAAACAATTTTCTGAGTATTTAATGTCTAACTAACATTAGTTAGTGTTTTGGGTGTGCATTGTTCACCCTTTGTGACCATTTTTTTTTGTGCTGAAAGAGTAGTAGAGAATGTATGATACAATGTGCTGATCAAATTCAATTGCATCTATTAAGACTATGTGTTAAGACGGTGAGAAACTAGTTATTTAGAGTTGCCTTCCCGCTTTTAGAGAAACCGGTTTCCTTAAGTATATTCTTTTATCGTGCCATTTGCCTTGTGTAATGGTTAATTAAGAATCTATCTTAAAAATACATTGTTGCCAAGTATTCACAGGGAGGAGAGGAAGAACAGGAAAATGGGAAGTTGGGCAGAATAAGAAAGTAGTTCTTAAGAGTTCCTTTCCCCACCCACCCCTTCAATAAAGAAAAGTATGCAAGAAAACCCCCAAGCAAATAGTGGTACAGGCTCATTTGCCAGTCCTGCTTACCCGGGAGCTTTTATTGCTCTTTAAAAATCTTCCCTGTTGAGGAACTGGTAATGTTACTAGGAAAATAAGTCTTATGCTTGAAAGTTTGCCTTGTTCTTTTGTTTGTACATTGCTTCTGCTTAACATACTGGTAGATTTTGCTAGTGGGGTTTTAGCTGCCGCTCTTTTGGTACTAACCAGCTACAAGGTTGTGTTTTATAGTAAGCCAGGTTCTTGCACAAGCCCTGTTTTTTAGACAGGCAGGATGCTGTTCCCTCTCTGAGGGACACTAATCTGGTTCAGTTTTGAGGAAATGATTTTAAGCATGATTCTTAATGCTAAATCCAGCTCCTCAGAGTAGGAAATTCTTTTGTTCTCTTGTATGCCTATATTGTGAAACATGGTTGTAATTGTTAGATTAAGTTACTGCTACTGTTAATCTCTGGTGGCTTTTCTGAGTAAAGGGCTGCATTCTCATGAACAATGTCTCAGAATTCAGTGGGAGCACCTTGCAGGGTAATAAACTGTTCTTTCTGATGCCTCTGTTCTCAGAGGTCCCATAGCTACCATGGTCAGACAAACAAGGCACTGCTAGTCAGCTAGTAAGGCAAGCTGCTGCTCATCACTTGCAAGGCAGGGATTGCCAGCTGCTGCTGTTGCTGAAGCAGCTGCTTTATCTCTGTTATGGCTTGGTTTGAGGCATATATTGCCCTTCCTGGTTTGACCTTTGAGTTCAGAACTGTGTGCTAGCTTTTTTCCATTTTAGATGTTAGAGGTCCTATTCTTTTGCAAACCCCATCGAAGTTCTGCAGGAAGTGTTGTTGGAGATTCCACATGGTGTTCCCTTGTTTCTACAAATGCTGTGTTTCAACATGGGTTAAAAAGAACCTTGGTGGTTTTTAGTATCAAAATAGGCATGTTTTGATCTGCTCTAGCAAAATTCCAGTGTAGGTATTTGCATGTCACCTTCCCTAACTTCCACCAACTCCTGTGCACAAAGTACTTAGTATTTTTTTGTTGTTGGAAAAAATACACCTTTTCCAAGTCTCACAAAACTTATTTTGAGTCGTTTCCCCAGATCTGAACTCCAGATAATAGCTATAAATGAAAAATGTCCCTCTTAAATGATCTGGCAAACAAGGTACTCTTCAGGCAAAAGTTTGACCAAAAATGTTCTATTGATTTTTAAAACAATAACCAAAGCTGCAGTACTGGTCACTCATACCTTGAACTGAGTCACTTTGGCCAAACATAAAGTAAAGGGAAAAGTGACATGAGACTTGTTTTGACTGTCATTAAACACAACAAACTTGATGATAGCTACTTAGGAATTTGTGTGATGCTGAAGAATTACTATCTTAGTAGGGGGTCCAACTTTCCATATAGAAAATGTTTCCTTTCTCCTCTGGGGATATTTTGGCAAAGAGGGCTTGGCAGTAATTTTGAGGTTCTAAATATATGTGATGCAGAAAAAGAACACAAAATAGCCAACTGCGTATGTTATCTTCGATTGTAATTGTGTACCATGCTTCCACTTGCTTACAGTAGCCCATCTTCCCTTCTGTGCCATTGGTCTGACCTCCAGCTTCCCATTTCTTTTACCTTTTCTTCGCCTGGGAGCAGTACTGGATAGAGAGTTTCTCAGCTATAGTATTAGGAGTTAAGAGGGACTAGGAATGGGCTTCACGTCTGTTCCTTCTGAGCTGCTAACAGCGTTTCAGACCTCTACCAGCAAAGTACTGGGCAAAGCAGAACTGCCATGTGAGTCCAGAGTTCTCCAATGGAAAAGGGATGTCCCAGAACTGCCTGCACTAAAGGGTTGAAGTATTCCTTTATGTGGGATGAGGCCCTAATCTCTAGGGAAATCAGATCAGCTGATTTATGAAGGCTGAGTGAAGAAGAAAGGAGATTGTCTGGATTCTGAAACCCATCCATAATCATAGAATCCTAGAATGGTTTGGGTTTGAAGGGACCTTAAAGCTCCTTCAGTTCCATCCCCCTGCCATGGGCAGGGACACCTTCCACTAGAGCAGGTTGTTCCAAGCCCCATCCAACCTGGCCTTGAACATTGCCAGGGATGGGGCAGCCACAGCTTCTCTGGGCACCCTGTGCCAGCGCCTCAGCACCCTCACAGGGAAGAGCTTCTTCCTGATATCTAATCTAAGTCTCCCCTCTGTCCCCTTTGTTCTGCCCTTGTAGAAGGCATCCTGATATTCTGGTGTGGTGAACAGTTCATGTAATAATTGTGCTTTATTTCTTAGCAGAGACTGTGGTCAAGGGAAGTTAAATACTGTGAGACATTAAGGAGTTTGTGAAATCGTGAGGATGATGACTAGTCTTCATGTTCTGATCTGTAAATTACTGGCAGTGTTGGCAGAACACTGTATCCATGGCAACATTGTGCTCAACTTCTGCCTTGATCTATGCACACGTGCACAAACAAACAAATAACTGATCTTGTCTCTTGATGGATCACAGCATCAGTAATATGGCACCGGGATCACTCCTTGTCAGCGCAGGTCAGGACTAGGTTTTGTTCTGTCATCACTCCGTGTTTCCTCCGATGATTGTGATTGTTACCCTTGCTACCTCAGGCAGGTGTCAGTTCCTTCAAGGGATTGTCAAGTTATGCCCTATGCTAAGTTTTGATGGGGTTTGATATCATTGACTCACTGGCTGAGGAACATGTGTATAATTAACATTGCACTGACTTCTGTTGTTTTTGTTTCAGAGCTGCTTTAAGTGTGTTAAATCTGTTTACCTTATTGCATAACCTTTTGTGCTTACTGGGGTTTGTTTCTTCTTTTAACGGAATGCTAGGATTGGATCAGTGTGGAAACCAGGTTTTCGCTTTTAACTATAAGGAAATCCTTCCGTAATAGGATTTAATCAAATTGCAAAGGAGAATGGAGAATATTATAATAAAGGGATAGGACGGCAGGAAAAGGCTCAGATGAGATCCAACAATAAAATTGTTCAGGCGTATACTCTCTAGGAAAGGGATTTGGGGAATTACTGTGATGAAATCTTAAAGCTATGAATCCAAGTGCAATTTAAGAAGCGAAAGTCCAATCAACATTGTTATTTTTCTGTCCACAATGGCTTTTAAATAAAATTAGCTCTTGGAAAAGGAAGTAGAAGCAAAGGCTTTCATAATAGTTTTTTCTCTTTTCTTGGCTGTACTTCATTCTCCCAACTTGTGTTTCTCTTGTAGAATTTTCTCCTTTGTCTTCTCTTTATCTGTTATTTCCTCTCAAACTTAGTAAATACTATTGAGAATGGAAATGCTTTGTTGCTTTTTTTTTTAGCTTATTGTAGGCAGCTCATGTAGCTTCAGCCTTGTTTCTATAGAGCTGTGCAAGATATTAATGAAGTGAAAATTCGCACTGTATTAAAATGCATGTATTGGATGTGCAGCAGAAAAAAATGTTTATACTTCAATGTCTTGATTTATACTTCAATGTCTTGTGATTTCCAGCAAAGACATTGTTTATACTTCAGTGTCTTTGCTGGAAATTGCTTCACTCTTATACGTTCTTCCAAACTGTGTGGTTTTATTTGACCTTAGTTTTTTGGGTTTTAGGAAAACTCCATTATGTAACAAGTTTTTGTATGACAGTGGCAAATTAGTCACCTTTCTATCTTTCAGCATTTATACAGACTCTATTGCCATAGTAACTGAGCTCTTCATAGTTGTTAATGTATTAATCCCCAGAACATCCCTGTGAGGTAGAGAGGTATTCCTGACTCGCACGTGAGACATTGAATCACAGGGAAGCCGGGTGATTTATGGATAACCCCACAAGCAAAGGAGAGCAGAGATACACTCTCATTTCTGTTCCTGTGGCATAAGTGCCCTCTTGGTTGCACTGCCTTTTCTCTGCCCAGCTTTCTCAAATGAATGAATTTTAGTGAAATTGGCTGCAGCCATCTGGAATGGGCTCATTTGCATATAAGATCTGTGGAGCTGTCACTATTCAGCACATCAGGTTTAATGAACTCTAAAGATACCAGGGAAGGAAATGTATGGACTGCTACTGTGTATTCTCAGTGGATTGTGAGAGAGATTTTTCTTCCTTGGTATCACAATACCAAAAATTGGCTGATTTTAGTATCAATGTAGTATACCAGTACTAATTGAATTGGCAATATATGGTTCATATCTCTGTGCTGATAAAGCAGTTTGTTATTACATCTGCTTTTGAAGGCTGACTGACCTTTGAAACTTTTTAAGCTTGACTTTTGGAAATATTTGCATTCAGAATCCTCTGCTATTCTTGGGATTTTTTTTGTTTGTTTTATTTTTAGACAGAACATACTTCACGTGCAGAAAGGAAAAGACGTGATTCATTCGGGATGTTTGACGGTTATGATAGTTGTAGTGAGGACACCAGCAGCAGCTCCAGTTCAGATGAGAGTGAAGAGGAGGTTGCTCCTTTGCCGTCCAGTCTCCCAATTATAAAGAACAATGGACAGGTCTATACTTATCCAGATGGCAAGTCTGGCATGGGTAAGTAGGTGGTGCATGAATACAAAGAGTCTGATGTTGATATTTTTTAGCCTGTGTTGTAAGTTGTGAGGGTCTGATCCTAGATGCTGGCCCTAATTGAAAAGGGATCAAAATATCTGTTTGTTTTCAGAGGGAAAATACAGTTTGTTTTGGGAGGGGTGAATTGTATGATTTTAGCTAAACTGAAATAAGATAGATTTTTGAAACCTGCTATCAGAAAAGAAACAGAATGGGAACATCAACCTTCCCTTCAACTGTGTATTGTGTATATATGTCCATGTATGTGTATGTTCTTGTGTACATTGCTTTTACTTTTTGAGCTTTGAGGAAAATGTCAGTGTGTTCTCTGTGCTTGGGCATATATTCTCTCTACCCTTTGTTATATATACAATATGTTAAAATATATTTCTTCCTGTACTAGGAAGACTTCATTACTGTATGAAGTCTGTTAGTGTATACCTGTTCACCGCCCACTGTGAATTGTAAAAGGGATTATTTTTATCATGGATGAAAAAATATTTTAGCCAGAATCATTAGTGATTAATAGAGTGCTCTGTGGGTAGGATCTCGGTATTGTCTCATTGGCATAAGTTGGTCCACAAACTCTTATTCATCATGGAACAGTTCAGTGGGTGATGCTGCCAACCTCTGAAGCATGTGACTACAGCTGGAAGTGGTGGGCTGGGGTACTTTAGGTATACATAATACATATAATGATAATATTATATAATTTATGATTCAGAAAAGAGATCCCATTTCACTGTGGGTAGGAAGTATTAAATATTTAGAGGAAATCAAGATTGGCAGACCCGGATTCAAAGCAGATGTTTGAGAAGCATGGAAACACAGAAATCTGCTTTAGCTAGGTCATTTATTTTTGCAACCAGTGCAAAATTAATAGGGAGCAGAAGGGAAGAACTGTTTCACCAATGGTTCGTAGTGTTTCACTGACATTTGTGCTGGTGTTCTTATTTGAAGTCACGGGTTAGGTGCAATTCTCTTCATGTTCAAAGCCTCAGAAACTGTTTGGTGGTGCCACCTACAGGACCTTTCTCGTATCGTTTTCTGATTATTATTTTTTTTACAGAAGTCTTTATTGCCCTCTTTAACATTTGGCTTTTTCTCTCCTGATCAGCTACATGCGAGATGTGTGGAATGGTTGGTGTCCGTGACGCTTTTTACTCTAAAACGAAACGCTTCTGCAGTGTATCATGCTCTAGAAGCTATTCATCCAACTCCAAGAAGGCCAGCATTCTGGCCAGGCTTCAGGTAGCGGTACAGACACCATTTTCTTTATATCCTTATTATAGTCTGTATTCATAAAATGTCTACATCAGTAAGACTTGCCAGCTGTTTTAAGATAAGTCAACTTTCTTTACACATTGTAATTTTCATATAAGTGATTTTGTAAGCCAGAACTGTATTAGTAGCAAACAAATTGCTTTCATAAGCAGAGGAAATTACAGAGAATACTGACTCCTTATTTCATTTCTGCTGCAGTGGCCCTTCTGCAGGAAAAAGATGAGGAAAAAGCTTCAATCTGCAATGTAGTGACTTGAAATTCCATGCATGTCATACCCAAGATACTCTCTGGCTTTAGAAAGCATGAAGATTTACTTAGCATTGTTGTGATTTGGTTTTGAGGGTGCTCTCAACTGTATAGGTTTGCAAAATGGGGTCTGGTCTGTTCACCTAAAATATTAATCAAGTAATCGTAACATTATAACATCGCAGAAAAGAGAGAGAAATGTCAAAAAAATCCTGTTTTATCCAATCTCAAGTTTATTGCAGCAAATGCCATAAGTATAAATTAGATGAAAAGTTCTTCCTTTTGACCTGCTTTTAAAATATATCTTTTTTTCAGGTAAACAACAATGAATCTATAATGCTGTTCAAGTTGGAATACTAGTACAAAAGGCATTTTTTGGACATTCTTTGCTACTGTATTTTAAACTTACTAATTATTATATGTAATTTTGTGATACTTAGTCAAGTTCTATGTTGCTCTAATTTTAGTTAAATCTCCAGAGATATGCTAGAGACCTATGGAGAGTTCTGATGGGAGTTTGCAAAGACTATATTTACTTAGCTTTTTTTGTTTTAGGGTAAACCTCCAACAAAGAAGGCTAAAGTTCTACAGAAACAACCTTTAGTGGCTAAATTAGCAGCATATGCTCAGTACCAAGCAACTTTACAAAACCAGGCAAAGACTAAAGCAGGTAATGGCATATGAACAGAGCTGAAACAAATTCTTGGTAAGGCAAGATTCATTAGCAGTTTCCTAAATAAAATAACTTTCTCTTAGCAGCTGTCCCTGTGGAAGGTTTCAGCTGGGGTAACTACATCAATAGCAATAGCTTTACAGCAGCTCCTGTTACCTGTTTTAAACATGTAAGTATTTTCAATATGTGCTATCCTTTTGTGTGTGTGCATGAGAGAGAGGGTCCCTGAGAGTTCTGTAATTAAGCTTTGCAAAATATACCTATCCAGATATGCTTCATGGCCTTGACTGTGAAACTTATAAATTGTGTGTGACTACTTTTGATTTTGGTCTGTCCTTTAAAACCATCCTGAACGCTCTCACTTACTCTTACGATGCTGCCATAATCAAAGCAACATAAAAAGATTCTTAAACATGTATGAAGTTATTTATTCAAGGTGGAAAGTCATTGAATACACTGTAGAGTAACAAAGCAATTCATGCTGTGTTAGAAAAAGTTACAAAAGTCTTCCTAGGCCGCAGCAAGCTTGTTCCATTATGTTGCACTGATCTTTTGGTTACATACTTGTATTTGAGATTTATTTTTTCCTTAGGTTAGTGAGAGTCTGCCTGCGAGTCATGCTGCCAGGTAGTGTAGAAATAGAGAAAAATAAAGGCTTTTCATAAATCTGAAATTAGAGGTTGGTTTTCTCTGATTTAGAATTAGGAAATTCCGAACAAAGAGTTCTCAGTTATTACAGAATGTAATTAGGGCCGAGGAAAATATTTAGCAGCATCTGTCCTTAATGTGCTTATTAAATTCCAATTATTAGATCTCTTTAAACATTGTCAGGACTTTCTGTTTCTTAAGAAAAGAAGTTCTGACATAGTGTTTTCTCACTTTTTATTTGGGAAGTTGAAGTGTTCATCTTCTTACAAAAGTTTTATGTTGCTCAAAATGATCTGATGAAAACTGCAATCAAAAGAAACATTTTGTTTCATGGAACTTTTCCATAAGGGAGAAGAGACACACATTTTCTGTCCAGTTCTGGAATTCATGCTGAGCCCTGTCAAGCCGTAAATCAGTAGGAGTTGAGGGGTTGTGGCAGTTGGCTCTTTCTGAATAGCACCATTTATGCTCAGAGGCCTTCACCATTGCCCGGGACAGAGCCTTGCATTAGCAGAGCTTCATGAACTTGTATCAAATTCCGTGTGCTGTAAGCACGTTTGCACTTTGCTTCCACTGTTATGTACATGCTGTAAAAACTGATTTCATAAGTAAGTATCAAAAGGTACTATTTGATAATGTGGGCTGTGCCGTTACAACAAATTCTTCATGATGTATGGCATCCTTAATTAGATACAGCTACAATAGTTAGGTCACTCATAATATGGACCATTATAGCATAATTTACAAAGAGTTCATCTTTCTTTATTACTGCTTTCACTAAGTCAAATGATATGCCAATAATGTGAGCAGATACAATACTAAGGTTCACATTTTTACGTTGAAAATTTTCACAAGCTACATGGCAACAGTGCCATTAAGCCTCAGTGTTGTTCCTTTTCTGTCCCTGTTTTCCTTTTTCACACAAGTAAAATGCAACTCATGCAGACTCCTTAGGAGATTTCTACTTCTTTGGTGGGCATTAGTTAGTATTTAAGGTGCTATTTGCATTTAGTTTTACTGAAATTATTTCTTTGAAAAAGTGTTATTTAAAGCAGTTGGAATCTGAAAAGACGTTAGTAATCTCTTGTTAAATCCTTCTCTCTCCCCCACTGTCCATTGATAATTAAAAGAAACAATACTATTTCTGTCTGTCTGGAAAGATTAGTCCTGTTTTTTGTGTACTGTATCACTTTGATTCATTAAAGTTTGTACCGATGTTTGTTAGTTTTATGGATTCCATGCACATCTTGTGTGTGCTCATGAGAATGAACATAGAAATTTACTCTGTTCAAAACAAAAGTTTTGAGGTGACAGGAAAATCACAACATACACTTATATTTGTTGTTAATTAAAATATATATCTAGTTATACTGAGTGTATCTATGTGGATATTTGGTGGGGAACATTGGATCAATATTAAAGAAAAATTAAGGGAATTATGGGATGTGGGATTTGGCTTATTGATATATTTATTTTTAATGGCCTGGCATACCAGTATTTCAGGTCTAATGTGATTTTTCCCAGATCAGTTTTTTGCCTAGAGACTTATTTCCTCCTCAATTTAAAACAGTTACGTTTTAGAATTGACACATTTGAATCTTGAAGTTCTATCTCTTTCTTTGTATGAGAGAATTTCAGTCTTTTGATGTGTTTAATGTGGTTTATTGTACTTCCCTGTTAACATCATCCCAGACTCAGTGCTTTGTACACTATTGAAATTCACTAGCAGTAGTACAATTACGCCCCTTTATAGTTTGGTAAACTGAAGTAGAGAAGCTGCTTTATGTCGTATAGGAAGCCTGTGACAAAGCCAGAACTACCGTTTGTGCACCTTCTACCTTTTATTTTCTTTAATTGTGTTGAATTGTCTTCATCAGACACACAACAGTAGCTGATACAAGGAGGAAAACTCCTTAGTTTCATGTTTTTAATACTGTGTTATAGCTTAGTCACATGCACTCTGCTCATTGCTAGCCTCCATGCCAATTTCACTTTTGTCCAGACAGTTTCTACTTTTTTCTATACTTGCTTTGATTAGCTCAAACCATTCCTGGAACAAAAGCAAATGCAGTGCTTTGAGTCATTTTCAGTACTACTTAATGTACAACTTTATGCACAATTAATAGTTATTATTCTTTTCCTCTCTGTTGCTAGTGAGATTCATGTTTCCTGAACTTAAGATTTTTTCAGTCTTTCTTCCAGTTGAGTGTTATTCTGAGCTGAAATACTTCTGTTCTCCTGGTTTCTTTGTTATAAAAATAAATATATAAAGGAATGTTTTGCTCGAAGGGAGCTGTTCGAGGGCTTTACACTAGGTGGCAGTGCTTTGCTTTGAACTTTTCCTGTTAAACGTCTTGCACGTTGTCTTCTTCGGCATTGCCCTTTGTTGGGGTTCTGTTCACACGCAAGGTTAGATGTAGTATCCTTACACTGAAGGTATGGTAGTATCACTTTACCATTAAAATCCTGATTCAGATTTTCAAGTCTGAAATCATGGCAATGTCGGTGCCATCCAAAAACTTCAGAAGCCAATTATTTAACCCCCAAGGTATTTGCTCAACTGGGCACACGGAGATAAGTAGCCTTTAGGCGCTCCTGTCAAACAGGACCTTCCTGATTGCAACTTACCTTGCAGAGGAGGCAGCTGCCACTCACAGATAAACCCTCCCAGTTCATCTCCCGGAGCAGGAAGTGATGAACCAGATTTTCCTTGTTTGGGAGTGACATGAAGTGGATCTCTTCGTCACGAGTCTGAAAGGTAAATTTGTTCTTACGTGTAAATTATGGTTCTGCTAGTTCGCACTATACCAATCCAGACTTCAGAGTTGCCCTTCCAGCCAGCACTTACACAGTGCTTTTTGAGTTTTTTGTAGCACTGTGTAAACATTGATTGATTAATTAGATGAAGGCAGAGAAGACATGAAGGAAGATGGCTGTTATAGCCCTGGTTGATCCAGTCTTCCTCCCTTAGTATTCACAATGAGCGAAAAAGACAAAGGTGGAGCAGTATACTAAGTATACTGTTAACCACCAGTTCAAGACAGCAATGTAATCTGGCACTTCAGTAGTGGTGCTACACAGGATGACTTCCTTATCCTAAAGGGTGGGCCATATGGATTGGTGTAGGAGAACTAGCAGAACCAATATTTTCACAGTCAAGGACAAATTTAACTTTCTGCTATTTCCCTCTATACCAATCCACGTTCTAGAAATAAAAATCTATGCTGTTTCCATTACCAGTTGATGTGAGAAGTGTTTCTGTATAATTTTCTCTCCAAATCAGCTGAATAGATGAGCAGGCAGTAAAATATATTTTGATTAACTTCAGCTGGATTATGAAATTATTCAGCACTATTTTTGATTGTTTGCTCTCATTTGTATGTCTATACAAGGCAACAAGGTTTACTAAAATATGCACTTTGAGAAGTTTATTTCCCAATTCAGAAATTCTACACGTCAATTTAGAGCTGATATTGAACGTGAGATAGGACTTGATTAAGAAGCTGTATCTGCAGATTTTGTATGTGAAAATAAGCCATCATCTTTGGAGTTGTTTTTTTTCCTCTCTGCCAGATGGCAGAAAAGAGCTCTGCAGTCTAGTCTGGTGTAGATGGGACATAGCAGAACATGAAGAGACCAGGCTTCAAGAATCAGAAACCGGCATACTTGTAGTAACTTATTTTTCCTTTAATAGTTAAAACAAAACTATTTTTGATTTTGCATGCCTAGCCTCAAGTATTTATACTAGTGCAGGGTATCCCTTTTTAAGCTAAATTTGGCTTTTAGTGCTGCTAGGTGGCTGTTGCTGATTACCAGCAACATTCCAGTCATTCAGGATTAATCCAAGTTTCACTTGCAGCTCTCAGGCAAAACTTTGAAGTTGGAGGCTGTTCCCACTGAGCAGTAGGTTCTCTGTGTTTGCAAAGAGCTTTGTAAGTAAGACACAGCCTTGGAACGCTGTCTGCCCGCTATGGTGCAGAAGCAGAGGATCCCTTCGGTTGTCCCTGTGATACCTGAGTATTCTCTGAACTGATAAAAATGTATTTGCTCAGAACACCTATGAATTTATATGACTGTTGTTCTGAAATACCCCAAATCTGAATATTTCCCTTCTTGGTGCTCTCAAGTTTAACCTAGACTGTGACATTTTCTGTTTTGTTACCAACCTAACTTTAGTTGAGTTACTTGGAAGGTTCTTCAGCACTGTGCATTTCTGTTATCTCTACAGTACCATCCTCGACTATCTGTTCAGGATGCTCAGTTCCAAAAAACAATCCTTTTTGAGGTAGTAAACTAAATACAGCTTATCTCCAGTTTCCATAAATCCTTGGTACTTTATCAGGCATGTATTCCTTTCTGTTATTAACATGTTAGAGTATTGAGGACAGTGTGTGAGGAATCTAGCTGAGCATTTCCTTCTGGCATTCATCAAAAAGGTGCCACTCATGAGCACCTTCTGATCTTTTGCTTACTTGATGTAATGATCACTTGCCCCTTCCTCTGGAAGGACCAGAACTAGTGAATGATGAGCCTCACCATAATAAATCATTGCAATAGAGTCAAAACATAACTTTTAGGCATTTTTTTTTCAGGGACATTCCTGTTTTATGGAATTTAAAGATTTTGATGTCTGTGGTACAGGTATAAATTTATAAAGTACCATAATTTTCTTGTAAGTAGAATTGCAGAGGAATTACACCATTCTCATTAAAAGCACTAGCTTGCACCCAGTTGAAACAGTAAAGCTGACCTGTGAGTATATGCAATATGTATCTGTGCTTTACAGATTTTTAGACTTGGAATCCTATGGTTTTTCCAGGAAATACACAGTAATAATTGTCAACAATTACAATACTGCACATAAGCTTCAAATCAAAACCAGGTTTTCATAGAAAGAGTGTTTTCTAAACTTAAGCTTATGTTTTATCATGTGTTTTGATTGTTTTGTCTTAAGTCCTTGAAAAACACTGATATTAACAACAAATTAATTATTTTAATGTGGTGAACTGGTGTCTTTCCCCTCCCTACCTTAAATGATAGGCACCTATGGGGACATGCTGGGGTGATATCTCAGAAGGAGTGCGGGTGGAGGTTCCAAACACCGACTGCAGCCTACCTACCAAAGTCTTCTGGATAGCTGGAATTGTAAAATTGGCAGGTAAATTTATTTTAGTTGAAATTATTAAAATGATCAAAATAACTGTGTGAAGGGAGCTAATGATTGAGTCAGTGGTCACCTGGTTAGTATAATGTTAGTACAATCCAAGTGGTTAGTTTATTAGAGCTGCATCAATAGGTTAAATGTTTTAGCACTATCGCTATGTTATATGCTGTTTCCCAGGGTCTTCAGTGATGCTTGAGAATGCCTGGGGCTTTTTTCTGTATTTTGGGTTGTTTTTGTATTGCCTCAGTGCAATAAAAGTAGTGCAGAGTGAGAAGCAGATTGTATAATGGCAAGTAACTGTTCTTGGTTAGAAGTAAAAAATTCAAGATCACATAGCTAAGGTATGAAAAAACAGATACTGTAGGTAATAAATTAATTTTGTTGTCCTACACATAACTTCTAAAGGGTTATAAAATTTTTAATCAAAATTTGACTTACATGATGGCACATGCACACTTACTGAAACTATCTGTTCTGTGCATCAGTAGCATGCAGACAAGTGCCATAAGAATAACGTTCTATAAAAAGTCATAGTCTAGGAAATCTCATGTAATATATATTAGGATTGGCAAAGAAATGCTAATACGTATTTTATAATCTTGTTCAATTTTTATCTGCTTTACATGGGATTGCTTTCTTTCAGGCTACAATGCACTGCTAAGATATGAAGGCTTTGAAAATGATTCAAGTCTTGACTTCTGGTGCAACGTTTGTGGTTCTGACATCCACCCAGTTGGTTGGTGTGCAACCAGTGGGAAGCCCCTAGTCCCTCCTCGAAGTATGTAAATAGTAGTCTTACCCATTGATATGAAAGTTGCTTTATTAAACTAGATTTGCTCATGGTCCAGATACTAAAGTATTTTCTTACTATAGCAACTCTATCAACAGTTATGAATAAATCATTTCATTTTGTGGAAAAATAAGGACTTGACTGATGCTGAAAGTGTTTCTTGGAGTAGCCCATCTGATGTGACTTAAAGCTTTTAAGATGCAGGTGGAAGCAGTTAGCTGATCAGTGATGTGAACATGCACTGATTTTATTTATATTTAGTCATTACATTCTTTGCCCTGATGTACCCATAAACTTAATCTTGGGTAGCATTCATTCTCTAAAGAGGTTTTTGTCATTATTGTCATCCAGGCTTTTTAATAGTCATCTGGGATTTCTTCTTTACATATTCCAGACTCTAATACTGTCTCTAACGGACACAATTAAAAATCAGTGGCTTATTTTTTCCCCTTCATTTGCAACAGCCATCCAACACAAATACACAAACTGGAAAGCTTTTCTAGTGAAACGACTTACTGGTGCCAAAACACTTCCTCCTGACTTTTCTCAGAAGGTAAGGCTGATGCAATATAAATGATGTCATGTAACCAAAATTGCAGCACAATGTGAAGAACTGAAGTATCTTTCAATGGCACATTAGCTCCTTTTGATACAGTAGTTTCTTCCCTTAAATACAGTTTTCCTTGTAATCTCTCTTCTCCATTTATGTTAGCACTTGTCAGTACGTGTTTGGAAAACTGTTTCCTCTGGCAGAAAGTAATTTTCTTTTAAAATTTGTTAGTCTGTTTTAATTTTAAAATACCCCAATTTAAAAATAAATTAATAAACCCCAAACCAAAAGTGCCAGTCGGCTACCCTGTGATACATAAAACCAATTAAAACTAATTTTTCTAATTCAAGAATGGTTTTTGTCATGTACTATTTCAAGAAACTGAGCAAAATGCATTAATATAGCACGTACCTAGATGCAATAAAGGACATGCTTTTAAATGTTAATATATTTCATCTACTCTGGACTAGATTTTTTTTTTGCTGTCTGTAAGTCATATCTCTTAAGTGTGGCAGCTGCCTGTATATAATGTGTTGTAAGTTTACTTACTGATATGATGAGATATTACATGGCTTTCAGTAGGAATATTGTTGTCTTACACTGCACCTAGTATTAAAGAGTGAAGAACAAGGAACACATTTCTGCAGTTGTTCATTTCTAGTTAAAAATTGGCTCTTTTGGAAGCCAAATCAGATTAGCAAGATCTCAACACTTGGACTTAACAATGGAAACGGCAAGTGACAAATACTTAAACAGGATGTGTGTTATCAAGGCATATTAACATCTATTTCCATTTTTTTTCTTTCTTTTTGATATATTATCAGGAAATATGTTTGTGAGTGACCAGTTTTAATTATGTTGAAGGTTTGTTTTCCATGCCTTTTATAATAAATTATTTTAATTCTATTTTGTATTTTGCATGGATGAAAAAACAGAAAAACAATCTTGGGAGCTTGTTAAAATAATTTTTCAGTGTAATTTTATCCATCGTTCACAACTGAACGAACGTTCATTACATCACTGGAAGATTCCTGTAACCTATGTGAGAACTGCTATTAGAGGCTGTACTTGATAGAATTAGAGCATTGTAGGATCTATTCTACCCTTTTCTGAAACTTTTCATTCTTCCCCATGAACAGTGAAATACAAGAGACATCATTTGTGTCATTCTTGCAGGTTGTTTAGCAAGTATTTGAATTAAATGAGAAGCACATTGATACCAGCTTTACTAGCAGAAGACACATGGCTAAAGAAAACCACAGTATATTCTTACTGAATGGCTTTTTCTCCCTATTACTTTAAGGTGTCTGAGAGTATGCAGTATCCCTTCAAAACTTCCATGAGAGTAGAAGTTGTTGACAAAACACACCTTTGTCGAACAAGGGTAGCAGTTGTAGAGTGTGTCATTGGGGGACGATTAAGATTGGTGAATGAAGAAAGTGACGACAAAACTGATGACTTCTGGTGCCATATGTACAGTCCCCTCATTCATCATATTGGTTGGTCTCGAAGTATAGGACACAGATTTAAAAGATCTGGTAAGCTTGTTGTGGGTTAGAGGTGTCTTTGTGGGCAGTATTGGCTCGGAGAAGTCTGACTGAAGCAGTTCTATCACTTTACATAATTAAGAAAACTATCTTGAATGATGATCTTTAAAAATGTATAGTGTGGCCCAGGGGGTTTAACAATTACATTACACTTAGGAGTTTAAATTACAAGTATAAATGGTATATTTTGTAGCATTGGAAAAAAGCAAATTAGTTTTAGGTTGATTTGTGGTATGTCGATGGGATGCAGCAATAACCAGGGGTTAACAAACTGTCTAACCAGGAAAACCTTGAACTGTATTATTCAAACATGGTAAACCTCATGATGATACCTGGAATTACAGAGTCTTGCTCCACAAACTCCTCATTTCTTCACATCTGCCCTTGTCCAATGCAACATGGATAAAGTCTGGTTTTTAATATTTCTCTGCTCTGTTGAGCTTGTGTCTCTTGTCAGAAACAGAATTCTTGTAACACATGCACAAGGCATCCCTTGAGGGAAGCCTTCAGTTTTCCAAGCGCTTCAACTTTGACTGAAACCATTTTAGAAGTAAGACTGGTTAAAGAAATCAAGAGCAGTACTACTTCCCAGAAGTGGTGTCTCTAGCAGAGTTCCAGGGGTTGCCCTTGGAAAGTAGTATTGAAGAGTTGGCTAAACCCAGCGCTATATAAAACTGTAAACTTTTCTGTCATAACATAGTGCAAAGTAGTTACCAGTTTCTTGCAAAAGCTTCTCTGTGCATTTGCATCAGTTCTGTGACATAATCAAGTGGTCTTGTAAATACTGGATATTGGGGTTTTTCTGTAAATGTGATGGTGTTGTAGAGGTATTTCAGGAAGACGTCAGTAAGGAAAACAGCTGGATTATGGCCTTCAGAATTTTGTGGTAATCCCATTATAAACTATGTGCCTCCCATGCCAGTGATTGCACTGTATAAGTTAACTTATTCAGAAAAACATACTGTCTGCTATTAACAAAACTTCTGAATAACATCTACTATTACTCCTTGTAGATATTACAAAGAAACAGGATGGACATTTTGATGCACCCCCACATTTATTTATGAAGGTGAGTTTGCTGGCAAGAACACTGTTCTCAGAGTTGATTGAGGACTTAAGTCCAGCGCAGCACGTTACTTCTTTTATTCAAGCTCTTGCCTCATTTGGCCTCCTTAACATAAGTAGGGATGATACACCAGGTATTTCCATCTGTTGCTTTGGCAGTGTGGGGTTACATTTTGTTCCAGGCTTAGCAGAGTCTTAGCTTCTGGTGCTGTTATCTGATTCTTTAGGTAAAAGAGGTTGACGCAGCTGGAGAATTTTTTAAAGAAGGGATGAAATTGGAAGCTATAGACCCCTTAAACCTTTCGGCAATATGTGTGGCAACCATTAGAAAGGTAAGAAAGCAAATGTGTATTTTGGGAAGGTAGACAGGAATCCTTTATTTATTCGGTTTTATTCAGGCTTGAAACAAAAGAACTCAAAACCAAAATAAATGCAGTTCATTCGCGCAGTGGATGCTTATGGAATATGTCCAGTTACTGCTTATATACAACTACTATGAAAAAGACAATATTCAGGTAAATTTTTTTTTTTACTTTAATCCCTGGAAGTTCAGCCTTACCTTTAATTAGAGCATGTTTGTGAGATTAATTCAGCTAATTCTACCAACTGTTTTGCAACTGAAACCTCATCTTGCTTACTTGCAGAAGCCAATGAAGACATTTTAAGGATATACTTCTTTCCCAGCTTGATTGAAAGGGAGCTCATTCATGTGAAATCTATTTTAAAAGAGGAAGAAAGTGAGAAGTAGCTTAGCAGAATTGTGGAACCTTACCAGTGAGGAGTGCAGTTATGATTTTGAGTCTTTTGTCTCATTAATGGTGTGCAGAATATCTTTGCAAGCTAAAGATTAGACTGAATTATAGAGCTTTAGACGTAGAACTGATGTTCATGACTAGAGATCGGGAAAAGGAAATGTTCATCTCGTAACTTTGCTGTTAACAAAGGTACATCTGACCATAGTGCACCCAGGCTTGGAGACAGGTATGATCTGAGATTTTTTTTGTTCTGTTATAATTGAATGTCCTTCTAAGTGTGCTTCCATTATGATTGAGTTACTTTTCACTCTTTTGAAACATGGCATGCTTTCTTTCTAGCCTTATCACACAGTTCAAGGTATTTAATGTAAAATTTTGTTTTTCTTCACAAAGGTTTTAGCAGATGGCTATCTTATGATTGGGATTGATGGCTCAGAAGCAGCAGATGGGTCTGATTGGTTTTGTTACCATGCCACTTCCCCTTCTATTTTCCCTGTTGGTTTCTGTGAAATTAACATGATTGAACTAACTCCACCCAGAGGTACATATAGCATTCTGACCACATTTTATTTTGAATATTTTTCAGTGATATTGTATGTGCCATATGCTTTGTTTCTTAATTCAGCCTACAAAATTCGTGTCACTTTTTAGGACTTTCTCAAGTCTGAAACAGATACAACAGCATAACTTCAAAGTAATCAACAACAGAGATGACAAACCTCCAATTTAGAGTCAAATTGAACATTGATTTTCTGGCTAAAGCAATTTGCTTTTGCTGTCAGAAATTGAGGATAGCCACTGGTTAAATGGTACATCCATTAAGTGAATGGGAAGTATGCTTGTTACTAAAAGGACTGTTTAGAACATGGCTTTGCTTGGGAAGTCCTGGCCATCAAAAGAATTGAGAAGCATTGTAAAAAACCTCAGGCTTAGTCTAATTCACAGCGATACCAGAATATGCATAAACTTGAGCTTTGAGGAAGTAACCATGAGAGCTGTATGTTGCATAATCCCTTCTGTGAGAGAAAGCTGTCTGTCCACTAGCACATACGCCTACAGAAGACTGTATTGCCTTCATTCTTCCATTTTAATGTCTTCGTCTACTGATTTATAAAGGATTGTTACTAGCTGTATAACAGCAGATAATAATGGTTTTCTATGGATTTTATTTTCTCCATTCTCATTCTTGCAGGCTTCTACTTCATTGAATTAATTTTCTAGGTAATAACGACAAAGTGTAATGCAACATGAAGAAAATAATTTCATATCATTTTCATTATTGCACGCTAATGAATCTGTCATTGCTGAGTATGTGGAAAGTGCAGTTGGACAGATTTACTGCTATTTCTCAGTCAGTTCATTTAGTGAATTTATTGCCTACAAATTCATGGGCATAATCAGCCCTAAAAAATAGGTGGTGCAAGAGTCTCCTGAAATAAAGAAAGTGGGAGGAAAAAGCATGCATATCAATACGTATCAGTCAGTTTAGAAAGAAATATATTAAGTTGCTGATACAGAATAAGAAAAACCCTCCTATAATGAAACTCGTTCTCATTACTCTTCAAACACTACTTACACTATAGAATGTGAATTTTGTTGTTAGCACATTTATGATTCTTCTGTGTTTCTTTTATCATGGCAACCTTATCCTTTCTATACTTGTATTTTTTCCCTTTTGTTGCAGTTTTCCATAGTGGTTCTGTATCACCTGCTGAGCCATGATTAAAAATTGCACATGCAATAATCTAAAAGTCATTTGAAAGAGGAATTAACGGGAGTAAAATACAGAACATAATGCACATTACCATATTTAATAGGCTCACAGTAATCAAAGCTTCTTAGCTCTTACAAGAGGTGTGTTTTGCTTTCCAAGTTATGGGCTTGAAAATGGAGAGTTTCTGAATTCTGACTACTCCAGCGAGGACCACATGCACATGTCTGTAGTCTGAGTGTGGTGAGAACTTAAAGGACTTGCATAGAGATGTATTGATCTAGCCAGGAGCTGTACATTAACAAGAAAGCATTAATACATAGAACTGATACATTACTGCCCTTAGTGATTTTTAGCTCTCCAGCTACATCTATTCATGCAAATATTGCATACCTATTGTGAACACTTTTCCAGATTGCATGTAGCAGTGCAGATAAGTCACTGTGAAATCACTGGACTTTATACACTCATTCCTTCCAAACATCTTCATCTCGTGCTGGAATCGGTAGAAGATGCTTAGGCGCTTCAAGAATGGAATTGTATTTTGGGCTGCCTCATGAGTTTGACCCTGCAGAACTGAGCTAAGACCCCGTGGGAGCTCTCTGCCCCCCTTAGATGAGATCCAGCCATTTCCCGTAGCTCCCCATGCCCTGCCCATTGCACTCAATCTGTTCAGGATGTTCAGTGCTGCATATGACTACCAAGAAATCTTTCAAGCTGTTGTTGCTCTACCTAGAGTTTGAGAACTGTTGGTTTAAGCAGTTGTAGAAGTTGCCCAAAAGTCCTGCGTATTTTATGCATATTCAGTAGGCAAACAAAACCTAAATATATTTGGGAGATTTTTCTTTATAATACCCTTTAAAATTAAAGGGAAAAGATCCTGTAATTTTCCATAATATGGCTGGGTTTATGCTTATTTTAAAATATTCATGCTTGTTCTTACCACTCTGTTCCTAACAATTCAGGTGTTTAAATAGTGGAGCTCTTTCCCCACAGGAAAGACACTGGATGTGCTTAATTCCATGATCTGTTCTGGGTCATTTGTGTGGGGTATTATAGAGATCAAGGATCTACGTGGACAGAAAGCTTCAAGTATGAGTGATTAATTGTAACATTAAATGACACTTTCCATATTATCCAGAGGCTCATTCATCTGGTTTGTTGCAAATGGGTAACATCCAGGAGACTGTCTTGCCCTTTAGACAAAGCTCAGAGGGTGGAAGTTTCTGATGTTAATGTTTTGTTTCTTTGTGGTCTTTTTAGCCATAACACAGTGCCAGTAAGCTATTTTTGTTGTTGTTCTTTTGCATGATGCGTGCAGTTGATGTATGTAAATATTGTTTCCATTTCACAGGTTATGCAAAACTCCCTTTTAAATGGTTTGACTACCTCAGGGAAACTGACTCAATAGCAGCACCTGTAAAGCTCTTCAACAAGGTAATAAACATTCTACATCTTTAAATTGAATTAGCATTTTCTTTACATTTCTATCTGTAATCAGTGGGATTGACCCATTTCATTAAGTGCAAATTTAAAAAACTAAGGCAACAGAGACTTACAGAAATAAGAACCATTTAAATATGTTAAGCTTCAATGTTTGTGAAATAGAGAGTATATGAAACTTGGTATTTCCCTACATGAAGTTGACTGAAATACTTATTCCAATATTGTGCTTAAACCATCTCAATTAACATGTTTGCTTACTGCTTTTTGCCTTATTTGCTTTTCCAGGAAGTTCCAAACCATGGGTTTCATGTTGGAATGAAACTGGAGGCTGTTGATCTGATGGAACCTCGCCTGGTATGTGTGGCCACAGTAACTCGCATTATCCATCGTCTTCTGAGAATACACTTCGATGGATGGGAAGATGAGTATGATCAGTGGGTGGACTGCGAGTCCCCAGACCTTTATCCAGTGGGATGGTGCCAGCTAACTGGATATCCACTACAGCCACCAGCGCCACAGTGTAAGTCCCTGTCTTGTCAAGAATGTAACAGTTGCTTCTGATCCTTGTTCTTCAGTGATGATTTTCTCTGACTTCATCCTTTTCAAGTCAGGTCCCCAGCCATAACAAAGACAGTGCAAGATCTCGCTAATGCTTGGAAGTATACAGTTCTGATCTTTCCCACCTTGACTTCAAAAGTACTTCTGGGTGCTTTTGTGGCTACTATTTCTTTTAATGCCAGAAGATGCTTGTTTGATGCAGGGGGAAAAACCTGCTACTTACTCATCACTTGTGGATAATATGACTGAGAATTTCTATTGCTTTAAGATTGCAAATATATATGCTTTACATACTGGATTTGATGGAGCTCTGCATGTGCATTGCTATTCATGTGCAGAAGTATTTATGTGGTAAGGCTGTCTTTTTAGTGCATCAAGACTTGTCCTGCCAGGTTAAGTTATATGACTATAATTGATAACTGTATTTTGCAAACTGTTAACATTTAGTGAGAGGGCAACAGTAGTTTCTGTTAGTAATTTAATGGGAGGCTTTTCCCATAACAAACATACTCTGCTTTTGTTCAGTCACCAGGGGAAAACTTTCGTAACTGAGTAACAGCTTTGATACATTCTGAAGTGGTTTTCCAAAATTTAAAGTTAAATTCTAAACTTTAATTTAGAATTTTGAATCCTTTTGCAGCATCAAGAGACAGCCAGTCGAGTTCCTCAAAACAGAAGAAGAAAGCTAAATCACAGCAGTACAAAGGACATAAAAAAAGTGGGTGACAAAGTGGGGTTTGCACTTTACTTGTTGTTTAAAGTTTGTGGTCTCTCTCTAAGTGCCTATTCGATTTGGGAATGTTTGTGTGAAAACTGGTGTTATACTTAAAGGTGCAGTATGCCATAAAAGGAACTTTTTCACTGAGAATAACCCATTTTTGTAACTAGCAAGAAGGTAGATGTTGCTGCTAATAACCTGTATTAATTGTAGGTGGACAACTGTTACAATAGTTGTAGTATTCACACATAATTTAATAATACAGTCACTATGTAGGTGGACTGCCTTACACAGAATACTCGGGTATCAATTAACACACTTTTACCTCTGCTTTTTGTAACACAGGTGTAGCAATAAGAGCCAAGTTACTCGGGTCAGAAAGAATGAGATGTAGAAAACTTACATTACCATCTGCCTGGCTCAGTTTTAACATAAAAGTGACTTATTGCTGGGGTTGTTTAGCTGAGACATCTGTGGGAATCTGTATGTAAATAAGACTTTGATATGATTATTTTCAGAAGTAATAAATAGCACTGCTGGATGTGACTATTCTTGTCACAGTAAAACACAGTGATGACGTATTTAAGAATCCGAAGCATTCAGATTCTTTCCACAGTAATTGTTTCCTTTGGGATCAAATTATCTTCAAAGTTCACAACCAGTTTGAAGTCACACAAATGCACATTTTGCATTTCTTCATCTTTTAATTTCCGTGATTGTTGGTTTAAGCTGAAATCTGTTTTGTATGAGTAAAATACGGGGAGTATTTTTTTTCTGCTACATAAGAATGAATTTTGTCCTTATACAAGTAGATTGTCTTGTTCCAGACAGCTTAAGTATGTATTACATTTGGAGCATCAACTCATTTTGCTCATTCATTCTCTTGATGTTTTCTTAAAAACTGGAATATTGAATAGAAGGTGCAGATCAACTACAGAAAACTCAAGACACATTTGTGTGAGCTTTAGCTCTGTTTCCTCTACTTCTCTTGTTTCAAATCTTACTATGTTTGAACAGTAGTTTGTTGTAATAAGATGAATTCACTAATTTCTGTTCCATCACAGTTGTAGCTGTCAGGGAAGGGCCCATTGGCCTGGGATAGGAAAAAAAAGATACCTTGTTTCTGAGTAGGAGCTGAAGCTGCTAAACTCTTGAGTTAGGTCTGCCCTGGCTTCCTGGGGTGATTCTGAGGATTGTGTCAAATGAGATTATGGTTTTACCTCAGGCTTTCCCTGTGATAGAAGGATTCACTTCAGTGAAGGGCTGTGCTGCAGTTTTGTAGGACTAATGTGAGGAGCTAAAACCCTTGTCTTCCCAGTCCATTTGTGAATGGTTCTATTAAGGTAATCTAGAACCTCCTTCACTAGTCATTGCAGAAAGCAACCTTTGCCATTTTGATCTTCGGACGTAAAGAGAAGTTGACCAGTGAATGCCACAGAAAAAGCAGGTTTCTGGGAAGCTCTTACGACCTCTTGTTAGCTGTCTCAAACATTGCACTCTTTCTGCTTTCTGCTCTTAGAGGAAATAAACAGTAACATGCAGATCCTCTTCAGAATCTTGCAGTGGTATTCTGAATAGAATTCAGGTACAGAAGAACAGGAGCTGATCTGAGAACATCAATCTGAAAAGCTATGAGTGCTGTTGCCTTAAGCTAGAGAAAGGTGCCTATACCACTAATTGCCTTTGTGTAGGGCCTCTTCTTTTATAAATCTGGGCTGTCTGAGCAAATTTTTAGCACACTTTGCTAGACCATCCTGCTCCTTACCTCATCCCTCTCCTTTCACCCAATAGCTCTGCAAAAGTTTCTTGGCATCTCTCTTTGTGAGTGCGACACAAACACCGTAAAGGAAATTCCTCTTATCTAGTGCCATAGGAAGATTTATTCTAGGGGAATTCGTTCTTCATTTCTCACTATCTGAAGTAAATTAGGGCTGTGAAAACAAGGAAGAACTTCCAGTGGTTTCTGGACAGTCTACTAAGAAATCTATTTAATTATCATCAGATGAGAGAACAAGGTCATGAAGAGTTATAGTTGGCTGCCTCCTATGCGTTTGTTGGTTTTTTTCCTAAGTAGGTTATGGCAACAGAAGTGCTGAGTCACAGGAAACAACACTGAGAAGATGTTTTCTGTAGCCTTATATTGTTCAGTACTTGTACATAAAAAATAGTCTTATTTGAAAAGGATTTCAGTCATAAAACTGTATAATGCAGCAGTAATGGAAAGTAACCACAGATTATTGGCAGGAAACTCTCTTAATTAAACTGGATTATTTTTAGCACAGAGAGGTGTTACTTCCACATATTTTCTCATGTACTCACAAGGCACTCCAGAATGTCTTCAGGTCATTCTGCTGTGGATAATGATGAAGACATCTAGTGCAGGATTTCATCTTCTTGCTGACTCCATTGAGAAGTGAGTAGCTTGTATTCAGTGTGAAGCAGAACTGATAATAGTGAACTCTGCAATAATGGAATCATGGTAAAAGAGAAGGAAGTTTGACTCCTACTGTGCCACTACAGAAACTGGTATAACCAGCAGGATTAACATTCATGTAACACTGAATTTCTCGGTGAACAGTAGGAGTTACCTAATACACTTTAACCCAAGCGTTTATTTTAGTTTGACTTGATGTTTAGAGAGGAAGATCCCAGTTGGGAAGAAACCTGACAGTTTGTCCAGCCCACCCATGACAGGTGAGGTGCAGAGGAGCTTCTCTGGTGATGAAGAGTTGACTCCTCCTCCCTATCGAACCCTTCCAGCACAGACAGCCCCAGAGGCCTTCCAGCCTCCCAGGACTAGCCGAGGGTTCAGTCCCAGCCTCAAAACAGGTAACTAGCCACATCGGTCTCTGTTACTGCAGAGGGAAATGATGGACAGGGTGGGGAACTACACATAGTCTAGCATGTAACGTGCTGACTCATCAAATCTCTTTCCTTTTTGTTCTTTAAGTTTTGGTTGGTTTTATTTCTGTTAGAGAGCTTTTCATTCTCACTGACACACCATGTCACTGAATTCATTGTAGGAAGCTATTGCAGCTGGGTTAGAACTTCATAGCAGGTCATATTGCAGGTTATTGAGGCACAGAGGAGCTCTGCAGAGTTTCAAAATGCACTCTGTAACTGAATGATAGTGTGGATTTGGGAAGACTTGATGCAGGCAGGAAGTTAGTGTGGATTGTCTTTTGCAGAGGAAGTAACTGTAGACAGAGTGCTTTTTGCTTTCATGTCAGAAAAGCAGTTATTTGGGAAGAGACCTTCAGAATAGAAGATGATTTGAAAGTTTGTGGGTTACTAATATAGATAATGCTTAGAAAATAATTTGGCCTTTAGGATTTTGATCTCGTCATAAAACCTGGCTTCTTTTAAGTATCAACAGTGCAAGTGTGCATCCGTATGAGTAAGCAGAGGAAAAACTCCGAAAAAATCATTTCTATTGAGTAAGTGAATTAAAATTTGGGGTTTATTTAAGGATAGTTTATGTAATCAGTCCACTGCAAGGCCCTGTTAGGGTTTTTTTCTCTTCCCTTTTCCTAACGTACGGCAAAAGGCTATAGCAACTAAACAAATACATCTAACAAATGTGGTTTAGTGATATATCTGTTGGACAAATGGGATCATGTTCTCCCTGCAGGGCAGTTACGAGGTTGATAGATCTAGCTTCATATTTGCTTGATTTACACTCCTGTAAACTTCCTGAAGTTTGAGGAGGCTGCCAGTATTGGCACTTCCCTTGGCTGTAGAACAGTCAGAATAGTTCTTCTTGTCCATCTGTGTCTGTTAACACACTAGGACATGGTAACCTGGTTGCCTTCTTTAGACCCTAAGGACAAATCTCAACTCCTCTTCACACATCTCTCAATGCTTCTCAAGAACTTCATTTTTACTCCAGCTTGCTGTTCATGTATCTGTCCTTTAGCAAAGTCTTTGATGCAGAAGAGAAGCCTTGCTTAAGAGAGAACATTCTGGAGCGCTTGTTTCTGCACAGCTTTTCTTCTCTTACTGCAAATCTGCACTTGTATTGCATTCTTGTAGTGCACAGACACACAGAGTCTGAGTGTTCTGTGTCACTCAATGTCTGAGTGTTCTGTGTCACTCAATATCTGAGTTCCTATGAAACACCCCTATTCCTTTGTTTGTGACACCCAGTGCTTTCTATGATCATTTTGGGGTAACTTTTTGAAGTTCTGAATTTTGGAGAGTCTGGAAAAAATCACTTGTGATACAAGCTTGTTATTATCCAAAGGTCTTTAAGTCTGGGGAAGAGGACATAACCCTGATACCATATTATAAGTTACCATATTTGAGATCAGCTGGAATGTGTTTATTGCATAGATATTCCTCAGCATCATGCACTGCCTCGTCTTTTAGTAGCCATAGAAAGGATGTAGGCACATTGCAGGAGATGTTTGATTTGGGCGATTTGGTTTTGAATTGAAGTCCTGGAAGATCAGTAGCAAGAGGCATCTGCTGTAAAGCATCTTATGTCATGCTCGTTAAAGAACTCTTACCTTTTGTACTATCATAAGCACAGGAGGAGGTTTCGGTACCTCATCTTAGTAGTATGAAGTGGTTTGCTCTGTTCCTTCATATGTACAAGTACCTCACATCTTTGAGTCATATGAAATGATCTTTTAAGCACTGAAATGCAACTGTTGGACAGCCTCACTTTTTGAAAAGAGCCTATAGCCAGCCTGGCAGAGGAGGAGATTGTTAGGAGAGACTCACCCTGCTTCTGCACATACTCTAGACCGTGCTGCTCTGTTCCATATTGATGTCTGGGGGGTTGAATGACATTGCATGAGACAATCTTCCTCTATTTCCAGGCAAACCACTGAGACTGTTTAAAGGGGGGTACCTTGTGCAACTGCATCACTTTTACTTCCAACATTGACTTCCATTAGCTTGTTTGTTCTCCTTTCAAGTAACTTTTGTTGTATAGCTGTAACTAAGCTTTTCTTATTGAGGGCTGAAGTTAAAAGCTGTATAATAGGGACATCTAACTGTAAGGATTTCAGTTCAAATTAGCCAGAGGCAAGCCAAATTATGGAGACTGCTATTACTCTTGTACCTGCAGAAGCATTCTGCAAGTACTGGGGAGAGAAGTGAAAGAACATGCCTGGTGGAGGTTAGATTGTACCCCTGACCTCTGGGTACCCTTTGCTTCAGGTATTAGCAGCATATTCAAGTATCCCATTATGTGTCTTATTTAGACAGCACGTTTTTTTGTCCTCCAGAGATCAAGATTTCTTGATCAGAATTGGGTGTAATTCAGGGGAAAGTGTTCAGAAGGAGGAAAAAGGCAGCAAGAAACTGGGCTTTGTAGGTGGGAGGATTAAATTAATAATATTAATTAAATTAATAATTAAGTATTTAATAATATTAAATTAATATTTTAATTTAAGTTAGCACAAGAGTTTGTTTCAACAGGGAAGATGACATAGAAAAACAATAAAAGGGCAATCAAATGGCTTTTAAGCTACTGCAGGGTTACTAGTAGCAACTAGCTAGTAACTACCTAGTAGGTTATGGGTTGGGGTTTTTTCCACCTCATTGCATATTTCTGCATTTCCAGATAAATTGATAATGCATATAAACTGTGTATTCAGAAGCTGTAATGCTCTTCTCATTCATTCAGTCAGAGAACCATTATTTGTTTATAACCAACCCTAACCTTTTAATGGGGGTACTGCACCTTTAATGAAAGACATAACATGTTTTATTTTGAGTGTTGCTTTCACTGTGTTCATATTTTGGTAATTGTCACTCTTCATTAATGAAACTGGAAAAGTAATTATGACATTGCTCTTCATAACATCTATTTTTATGTCTTAGATCTCATTTCTATTTTATTTGTACAAAAGAAAGAAGAGAAAAGATTAAAGCTACAAAAAAAAGACGTTTTGCTTGAATAAAACTTACCTTTTGGGATCTTAAAATGTTAATGATGTATTATGAAATCTTTGTCAATGTATTATCTCGCTTGGACCACTGACAATAATTGAGCTAAGTAATGTGAGTTTAGATTGTATATGGCCAACAGTTCATCTTATTCTTACTTGTATAAAGACTAAATAGGAGGTAAACAGTAAAATAAGTGTTCTGAGCAAGTCATTATTCCTATGCTTCAAGCAGTGTTTTAAAATACTGAATTCTGCAGAAAACCCTGTACAGAATATATTACTCTGTGTAGTTTGTTCAAATATGTTAATATTAGAGCATAACTTAATGTTTAATTTATGGTCAGAAAGCATCTGCTTTCAGTGGGGTACTGGCTGTTAGAAGAATGCAGAATATAATATTAAGTAAATTTAAGGAAAATTTTACTTCCTTTAAAATTTATCCATCTTTCATGTTCATCTTTAATTTTTAGTGACTTCATTGCAACTGAAGGAGGAGTTGCTAGACGGGGAAGAATACAGCTTCCTTCAAGGAGCATCTGATCAGGAAAGCAACGGATCTGCCAGTTACTACATCAAACAAGAACCATGAGGCAGCTCAGAGAAGTGAGGGGCAGAGAACTGGTGACAGGAAAAGAGCCTTTCTCCAAGACTGACTGATTTTGCTCCCACTTGGATGGTGCAGTTCAGGTGACTGTACCTGGGGCACTTTGCTAACTGTAGATGAGTTAGACTCAGTTCAGAACTTTTTTTGGAAGGGCGGGGAAACTATTTTAGTGAAAAAGATTTTTCAATTTATTAAAAAACGGGAAAAAAGGACACTTTTGTGTTGTATTTGAAGCTTTTGAAAGAATTTTGTAATATTTTCAAGTTCAGATTTATTGTGCATTGTTAACAAGAACTGAAAATCTAATTTTTTGGTAAGATTAAAGTTTAATTAGCATGATTGTGGGAAGCGGTTGGAGGAAGCTATAGGTGCAAATACAAAGGAACTGTCATAACAAATGAACCTTTTTGGTACAAGTTGGGGAGACTTTTAGACTCTTGTGAACTGCACTGGTCACGCCTCTGGTTTTTTGTTTATTTGGTGTTGTGTTTTTTTTTTTAATTGTGAAAATAAGGCATTTAAGCCCTGATTTAGAGGCATAAATTGTGTGGAAGATAGTCATGTAAAGCTCTACTCAATGAGTAGCCCCAGTTGCAACGGAGCCATCGCCTGAGGATTTTAACTTTTCAAGATGTTTTTCTTTAGTTTAAAATACTTTTTTATATATATATATGTGTAAAATTTTTTGTGTTTTTAAGTTCCTTAGGGTCTGATTCAGTGCCCATCAATATCAGTAGCCTTGTCTCCAGTGACTGCAGTGGTCATTGGATTGGGACTATGAAGCTCTTCTCTGTACATGAATGTCTGTAGACTTGGAATGCTTCAGCAAATGTTTACAGAGCCCTATGCCAAACTGGAACTTCAGCAAATCCCCTTATTTGGAAGAGTATTTTTAGCTATAAATTTAGACTAAAGAAGAAACTTAGACAAACAGTAGCTCAGGCCTCCCTTAGTCATGGGAAGGAACTTCTGAGTATTCCTTCTGATGATTTTTCCCATTCAGAATAACCTAGCTGTTTCCTTACCATCTTACATATTTATTTGTGAACATTCAAACCTGATGTTCCGCGTGGTTTCAGGTGAGCTAAAAGGAGCCATACATTATAGGTTAAAAAGAGTTCCGTTCCGCACAGCCTGCAGTATTCCTTTCTTGCTGCAATAGCGTAGTATGGAAGGTGAGACTAGAGAACAGTATGTAAATCATATGCTGTCTAGTATATAATTCATAAACTGGATTTGCCTATTGCCTGGAATCCTTGTGTCTCACTTCTAGTATCCCATTAGCCCCACCTGCTTGACTGTCCAGATTTTTTAAAGGCAATGTAAAAGAATGGGAGCAACTACCAGTATAATACAGAGTACTTAGCATGAGCTCTTAGTTCGGATTCCATCCTTCCATGGTTTTTAACCTTTGTACCTTTTTGTAACTGATGTCATTCATGGTGTTGAATAACGAAATGGTTCAGCCCTGCAGAGCTGTGACTGGGAAAATGTGCATCAAGAGCTTTAGCTTTTACCAGTAAGGTTCATTAACTAAACTCTCAGGAATTAACTGCGTATGTTCTACAAGTGCTTCTGGGTCTTCACAGGTCCCCCTTTCAGAGCAGTACAATGATCATCTGACTCTTGACCATAAATTAGGGCTTAAAAGAGAAACTAATCAAAATGATTAACATCTGTGTTCCGACAGCCTAAGAAATGCTTTAAGGATATGAACCCACAGAGCCCCAGGAGACCATTTTTGTATATTGTTGTTTAAGCTTAAAAAAAACAAAACCAAGTGCATAGAAAGTTGAAAACCAGCAATTTGATTATTTTCTAAAATATTGCTCTAACTTTGGGTACATAGTATTGGTGATATGCACAGGTTTACCTCATTCTATGCAAGAGGGGTTAATTATGTAAAGTTTTGTATTTACTACTGGAAGTAAAACTGTCCTGTATAGTGTAGGAATGTCTGGAATTCTTTTCTCCCTCACTGGTAACGTTTCTTAAATCATGACCCCTGTTTACCAACAGCTTCTTATATTGACCGAATCTGGTTATCCGATGATAAGTATCTGTAACTTCAGATGGTAAAGATATTTTAGCTCTCTAAAATAGCCATAAAAAGGACTTTGTCTGGCTTGGTAGACTTCAAATATGTTCTGTCAGCTTCTGACCCATCCACAGCTTTTCTTTTGAACAGCCTGGATTGGAGGAGTAGGATTAGAGACCATTGCAATGACACTTTGAGCCTTGACTAACTTTTTTTTTCCCCCATGTTCTCAATTTTAACCTACTTTATAATCCAGCTCTGCAAGCATTGATGTGGTTTGGTAAGTACATCACTAATGATTTTTATCGTTTATAATGCAGCGCCTTGCAGATTGTCCCAGTCAGCTGGACCAGGGTTGGCACAATCTTGCTTTCTTCTCTCATCTTCTGACTTCAGTCAAAAAACTGTTGCATTCATTTGTGTTTTATTATGTGGAAGCTCAGGCTGCTAACAAGGTATATTGCCAAGTCTGTGAACCTTGGGCTTCTGTGTATTGCCCAGGCTTGTACCTGACTTCTAAGTTATGGTTTTCAAATGTCAAGAGGGAAAACTAGTGCTTACATTGAACACACTTCCTGTGATGGAAAAATGTAAGAATCAGATTTGAAGTCTCTCAGTCTTTATAATGTTCTTTTAAAATGGTTATTTTATTCACTAAACACTAAAGGATGTGAGTTGAAGCATTTTCAGATACATGTGTAGCTTCAGTGTGAGTTGGGTGAAATCTCTCATGTTTCTGAATTCCAAATGTACCTTAATTGTCAAGTACAGTGAAACCTGTCCAAAGGAAACCATGTAAGGAGCCAATTGAAGTCACTTGGGAGAGGATTAAGAACCCAAGCAAAATTATGCTGGCTATTTAGAATCGTCTCTTAAGGAGCAGGCAGCTGGCTGTGTTACCCATGGAGTAGGCTTCACGGTAGTCAGTAACATGGCTGTTGGTGTTTTTATCTTCACTTTAAGCCATGTCAGGTGGCTAGAAGAGTGGCCAAGTGTTGGACATCTGAAATCTTCAGTGGGGTCAAACTGACTTCAGTATTGGGCACAGCTGGTCTTCACACCCCTACGGTAGCAAGAGTTCTACCTTACTTTGCGGCTACCCTTCTGTTACTGCTCAGAATCCTTCTGCTGGTCTTTGGGTTTCATGTTATTTTAAACACAGGTCTTTTAACCTTGCTGCATCTGAGGAAAGCTAAAGCAGTTACCGATTCCTTGTCCTACGGATACTAACACGGGTTTCAGTGTTTGTTTGGTTTTTTTATTGTTGTTTTTATGTGATGTGAATACCCTCTCCCGTCAATATTTGTATGATGGTGCTAATATATTTGGTAACAATCCTTTATTGGGAAGGGATTTTAAAAAAACTGTGATTGAAACTGAATTTTTCTTCCTTTTACTTTTCATATTTAACACAAAAAGCCACAGCCATTTATACAAGCAAAAGGCATCAGCTTTGGCCCCTGGGAAAACATTGGGGGCGGGAATCAAGATTAAATGGGATTTTTACATCATTTCTGTATGTATTTGATATATAGATCAATATCTGTACAAATTTAATCTTTTATTTTCTTGGTAATTTGTGTGGTCAGTGAGAGAGTTATTTAAAGCTTTCTCATGCAGTGTACATAACTAAGTGAAAAAATGCTTTTGGAGAAATTAATGTTCCTTTCATTTTTACGAGACTGCAGATTTTCAGCATGGATGTGAAAAGCATTAAAATTATAACTTTGTGTACAAGATGAAAATAATTCACTAAATTTGCCTTTTTTACACAAAATAAAAATGATAAAAAGTCTTTTCCTGAACAGTGATTTGTTTTGCTGTAGAATGCACCCCTTGGCATGTACATAAACACATTCCAGCTTGTTTTCTTTAGTGGGTTTCAGCTGACAAGAGGGGAGATTGAGAAGAGTTTATGCAGTTCTTCCCTGTGAGGGTGCTGAGGCACTGGTATAGGGTGCCCAGAGACGCTGTGGCTGCCCCCTCCCTGGCAGTGGACTCTTATTTCACGGTTGGTATTAATAGCTGTGTAGGGAGGAACACTTTGTCATGGGGTAGCACTCATTTTTCTTCTAGTTCAGTTCTGCTGTGGTGGGAGTAGCTTGAGCATCCCTTCAGGCTTCCCTTTGCAAGCTGGCTTTGTGACTAATGTACTTTTGCAGCATTCAATGCAACTTTTGTAGTCAACAGAAGTCACTGGATTATTACTGATATGCCTGTATGTGACTGACAGTTGGTGTTAAATAATCCTCCTACACAAGGCAAATACTGAACAACAAAATCAGATGTCTTATGTGGACACCTGAACACAGCAGACTGTCTGTTTTACAGTGAAAGCACCACAACACAATTACTTCATATGAATTTATTTGACAGTGCTGAAAACGACTAAGATAACCGTGGTTGCTCCCAGGTAGTAGCTGGAATGAGATGATGCGTTTAGAAGGCACAAGTCACTGTGGCAACTCAGTTCACTCGTAGATCCAGTCATGTGCACAAGACTTGAAGTCAACGAGCTCTGCAGGTTTGAACCACAGGTTGATCTCCTTCTGCGCGCTCTCCACAGAGTCACTACCGTGAATGATGTTTCTGGGGAAGGAAAGAAGCACATTGTTCAAATAAAAACACACTTCATCAACCTAAGAAGCTCTCCTTAAGTAAAACCATGAAGCATCTAGAGCTGCACGACTGCTACTGCAGGTACAATGCTCAGGCACCCCCTCTGGAAGAGCTACTGAAGCCTGGCAGGGTGACTACAGCTACTGTGCTACAACAGCCACTGCCACCGACTGATCTTACACAAAGCTCTGATGAGGAGAGACAGTTCAAAACAAATCAGTTTTGTGCCAAGCCATTTCCTTAAGTAGCAGTCAAGGGTTGTGACCTGCAAGTAAAACACCATCAGACTAGGACAGCTACCAACAGTCTTGACTCCCTAGAATCAAAGATACCACTATGGAGTTGTTAATCTGTATTGGTAACAAGCTGAGCACAAACCTTCCTACTTGAATGCAGAAGTCACCACGGATGGTACCAGGCTTGGAGTCTGCAGGGTTTGTTTCCCCGAGCATCACTCTCCCGGTTTTAACCACATTGAGTCCTTCCCATACCTTAAGTAAAAACAAATCCCATTTAGCATTGCTTATACAGAATACCAAAGATTAATCTTTGCTAATCACACACTTGGCAAAGAAACGGGGGCTCTACCACCAAGAAAATTAACCCAACCTGGAGTCTTTTCACTACCTAAAGGGGCTGACAAGAAAGCTCAAGAGGGACTTTTTTACAGTGGCCTGTAGGGACAGAAAAAGGGGGAACGGCTTTAATCTGACAGAGACTGAGCTGAGCTCTTAGGCAGAAGCTCTTCCCCGTGAGGGTGCTGAGGCGCTGGCACAGGGTGCCCAGAGGAGCCATGGCTGCCCCATCCCTGGCAGTGTTCAAGGCCAGGTTGGACACAGGGGCTTGAAGCAAGCTGCTCTAGTGGAAGATGTCCCTGCCCAGGGCAGGGGGTTGGAACTGGATTCTAGGATTCTCTCTTAGGCCTGCAACACTGACTTAGGAAAACACCCAGGGACTGAAAGTGACTGTGAAAAGGACTATTGCCACTATCACTCCAGCAAAGATGCTTCACCACACCTCAGTTAACTGATGTACAAGGCCAACTCCAAAACCCTTCTGTTGGCCAGGGTAAGGACAGCCCAAGCAGGTGCTCCTCACCAGCTACAGTCAGAACTGGAGCAAAAGCTATTAGGGCAATTGTATTGTTTTGGGGGCAGTGTAAAAAAGAGTGACACAAAGATGGATTTCTGACCCTTTTTTGCCAAAACCAGAAGATTGTTTGGTGCACGCTAAGCATTTTAATGCGTACTTTATACATGCACACTTTCTTGTTAATACATAGTAACTTCCTATGAGATTGTCTTCACAGTGTTTTTCTTTTGCCACTATCAGAACTGGGCAGTGTGAGAAAGTGTTTCTGCAACAGTATCTCTGAGTATTTTACATTTACAGAGCAAGATGAATAAGAACGTAGCCCTCAAGTGAAACAAAGCCACTTACCATGGCCACAACAGGTCCAGAGTTCATGTACTTAACCAAACCAGGGTAGAACGGTCTGTCTTTCAGGTCAATGTAATGTTGCTTCAGAAGGTCTTCAGAGGCCTTTAAAAGAGATGTAACATTATGTATCGTGCCACAAAAGGTATCACTGCTGCAAGACTACAGCATCAGAGACGGGATCCATCAGTCATTAGCAGCTGCTGCAATGCTGTTATGGGTTTCAACGGAAGTTCTTAATGCACAACCTGAGGAGGGCACAATGCACTACTGTCAGTGCTGTGCGGTGTCAAGCTATTTGCATTACAGCAATCCTCAGAGCATCTGGATCTGTGTATGTCATTCCCTAACGCAACCTTCCACTCAAGGTCATTTCCTCGCTCTGTTAGCTGCCATTAAGCCTTTTAAGCACAATTTGTTTGCTTAGGAAATGGCAGATACCAAACGTTTGTGCGTGATCCGCAGCTCGGCCTCATGGGTGAGCTGCTGGGCAACCCCGGCCTCGGATCCCCATCCTCATGCCGGAGGAGCCGCACACCAGACACACGTGTGTGCCGATGCAAGCACCGCTCCAGGTAGGCGAGGGGCAGCGCCCGGCGCAGGGGACTTACGTGCACCAGCTTCATGGCCACCAGGCGGAAGCCCTTCTGCTCGAACCGCTTGATGATCTCTCCCACCAGCCCACGCTGGACGCCGTCGGGTTTGACGGCGATGAAGGTGCGCTCGTTGTTGGCCGCCATCGCGCTGCGGGGCACAGGGGAACCAGCGGCCTCAAGGTCGGCGGGACCCGGAGCCCGCCCCGCCCGCGCACACGTGGCACCGGGACCGCGGCGTGCCCCGTCCCGTCCACCCCCTCCCGGGCCCCGCTACCGCCCGGCGCCGCCGCTCGCCGGGGCGAGGCCCGCAGGCCGCTGCCGCCGCGCCCGGCACTAAGGAAGCCCGCCTGCCTTAAAGCACAGGGGACTGGCGAGGCCCGCACCCCCTCATGGAGCGGACCGGAGCGGGGAGGCCCGGCCCTCGCCTCACCTCTCTGGAGCTCCCGCAGCCGCCGCCTTCCCCACCGCAGCCGCCGAAGGAAGAGGAGGAGGCGGCGGCGAGCCGTCTCCGGATCCCCCGCCCTGCGCAGAGGAGGAGCCGCCGGGCCTGCGGCGCTTGGGGGCGGGCCTGGCGGGGCTGGGGGCTCGCTTCGGCGCTCGCCCGCCCACTCCCGCCAGACCGGGGCCTGGGGCTGGTCCGGGCCGAGCTGGGCCTGGTGGCGGCCGCTGCGCTCCTGCTGAGCCCTGTCCGAGGCCCCGCCTGGCAGGCGGCCGGGCCGTGTGTGCCAAGCGGCACCTGTCGCGTTGACGCGGGATTCGTTTGCAGTTGCAGCACTGGGGCCATCGCTGTTCTCCGCAGTGCCCAGATTGAGGACGTTTGATTGCACTAAATCAGGTTTGACTCGGAGGGTCCTGCTTTGCCGTTCTCAGAGGCATCCCCACAGGTTGCTGACCGAGCAGCACCCTCACAGCTGCTGGAAATGGTGTTCTCACAGAACAGTGGTGCTGGAGCGGCAGGCCAGGCGAGTTGCCGGTGGTTTTGTTGTGGTGCGGGGAGATGAAGCTGCGAAGTGTCAAAATGCAGATGTAAAACTGAACAGCCGCTGGCCTTGCGTGCTAACAACAGTAACAAGAGTGGTGTTACTGTCTATTATGTTTACTACGTGGCCTTTGACTAATTTACACCTTGAGCTGGTGATAATGGTGTGCCACAGCTGCAGCGTTAGTGCCATACCCTGTGCAGCACTTGTGCAGTCACAGGCCACTTGGTGAAACTGGACGTGTTCACTGGGCATTGCGGATGAGGAGTGTGGGCACTGACCTCCTTCCTTTCAGTCCCAACCCATGACACTCAGCAGCCGCTTTCTGATGCTCTCCAGATAACCCATATTTCTCCATTTTGTAGTAAGCAAATCAAGAAAAAGGAATCTCAAGTAATCCTTTGAGCAAAAGGGGACCTGGAGACTCATCTCGTGCACAGGTTTGTTTCAGCTTCCCTTTTCTCCAACAGCCTTTAACTTAATTATGTACCTTCTCTAACACAGAGTATTTTCAGAAGAGAAGCTACACCTTCACCTACGGTTTGGCAGTCAGGCAATTGTTCCCTCTTTATAGTCACTGATTAGATCTAAAACAGTACAATGAGAATTCACTTTTATTTCACTTAAGAAACAGCCAATGTTGTTTTATTATGCACAGTCTCTTTTTAGGAGTAAGGTGTCTTCATCAAGTATCACAAGCATTGAATTCAGCATTCATTACACAGTTCAGTATTTGAAACAACTCACTGTAGGAAAAAAACATGTAGGACTTTGGACAACTGATTTAATGAAACTCTTGCTTTTACTGAATACAAGATTGCAGGTAGATAAATACATCATGTTGACCCCAACACATTTCTTGTTCCTTATCCAGTGAGTATTTGTTGTGAAAAGTTCTGCCAGAGGTTGATTATGTTTTCTGGTGGGAGCAGACACCTCTACTGCAATACATTCAGCATTATTACAACTCTCTTTCTTTACATGATTGGATAAATTACAAAATCTAATTCTAAAGTCACTTCTGAAATACCTTATCCAAAAGCAGCTTTGTAATTCCAACTAAGAGCACAAATGAGAACATAGCTCAGTTATCAGCTGTTCAGTCAGTAAAGCAAACCATACTGTTGCCAGAGGACTGCTAGAGTAAAGTGCTTGAAGGTAGATCTGCTTCATCTATCCTCACATTAATCTTCTTTTCACATAAAAGGGCATTTAGGAGGCTTGGCCGATTAAGCCTCCCCTAAAATGCTAAATAAATCCCACATGGGGGAACCAAAGCCAGTTAAAAGGGTGCCAATCCCAAGGGAAGTTCTCATTTTACTCAAAGCTCTGCTCTGTGTATGGGCACAGCACACTGCAGAGAGGAATAAATACCCTTTCTTCTGCAGTGTATTGGGCACAGGGACCCACTTCACTCAATATCAAGTTCAATCTGCAACATTTGGCCATGTTATCAACATATTACTAGTTGTCCCCTAACAATTTAAGAATGTTAACCTTTGACACTGATCCATTTGCATATTTATTTACCCAATAAATTATTACCTCTTCTTTTTTTCTATTTACCAAAATACTCCTTCTGTCTACAGAGTATTTTGGGAAAAAAATACATGTATTATACGCTCTGTGTTTTAATCTCACACCTCTCACCCCCAGAAGCATCATTTTGAAAGTACATTTCCATCTCTAACCTGGCATCTTTTTAACCAAAGCAGCAGCAAACACTGGCTATATTCAATATTCACAACCAAGCGATCTCGCAGGTTTCTGAGGCAGATTTCTACCAGTGTATATGAGGGGCTCTGCAGTAGCTACAGGCTGGCAGCTCCTCACAGGCAGTGAGGGTATCAGCAGGAGCAGGCTTGGTTTTACTCATAGATCCACTCATGAGCACAGCTTCGGTAATCAACCAGTTCCTCAGGAGCAAACCATAAATTGATCTCTGTCTCGGCACTCTCAACAGAATCACTTCCATGAATGATGTTCCTAGGAAAAGAAAAGGTGGGTATAAAAGTAACATAATCCTCAAGTGCAAAACAAAATAAGCCTCTTTTTTTGAAGAGGTATTCATTGTGGAGAGAGGTTTTAAGTAAGCATAAAGTAGTTGTGAGAATGGAGCATGCAGCCCCAGCTTTGCTCATCATTTTTGTCAAAAGGGAAGACCAGAATTCAATTTCCATCTTTAGATAATAACATTACATGGGCAGAGGGAACAGGAGCTCCTTCCATAAGACAGAGAAGGATGGAGCACAGTTCCTACATGCATCATGACATACCCACTGGACACATTCAGTATCTTTAGATGATATCAGTCATTGCAAAACATACCTTCCAACCTGAACACAGAGGTCACCACGGATAGTGCCAGGCTTTGAATCGAATGGATTAGTTTCCCCCAGCATCACTCTTCCTGTCTTAATCACATTGAGACCTTCCCACACCTTAAAGAAAATATCAATTGAGATCATTAAATCTTAGCAGTAGATGAAGAGTCAATCAAGCCCTCCCCAATGACACAATGTTGTCCATCACAGCACAGATACCATCTGAATATTTGTAATAACAAGACATACTTTATCTCTGATTTTCCATCAGCTTTTTGAAGTGTCTACTAATGTTCTCCCCTCCTGCACAATACCTTTTCCCACTGAGGGTGGGAAGAGAATGGTTTTAAATCTCAGTATGGTAAATGGCCTCACAATGCTGCTCACTGAAGGTCTAGATCTCCAGCTTAACTATGTCACAAATACACTATCAAAGAGAAAAAAAGAAAACCCTTCTAATAAAGTCAGACAGAAAAAGACTTTCAAAGTTGCTCTCACTTAGGAGTACAGTAAATCCATTCCACCATTGTTTTTCAGCTTGCTTAATGCATGGCATTTCACAGTGGGGCTTTGTGCAGGTTTACTGTCTTTCAGTGTCCCCACTTTTGTCCCATCTTTCCCCTTGCCCTCCTCCTCAACATAGTGACCCAGAGCAGAAAAAGCTTATGAAAAAGGATTAAAGGAGTTTACATCACATCTTCCCTATGACAGTATTTGAGTGGGGATTTTTAAGTTCTTTAAACACAAACTAGAATTACACAAGTAAGACAATGTTACTGCAGGTACAACAATTAAATAGTATATTTTTCTTAGCTGAGCTTCATTCTCAAGAACTCACCATGGCTACCACAGGGCCGGAGTGCATGTACTGCACCAGACCATCGTAGAATGGCCGGTCCTTCAGGTCAATGTAGTGCTCCCTCAGAAGTTCTTCAGAGGCCTGCATTAAAAACCAGCCAACCATCAAAAAAAGCTTACTGTAAGAACTTAAGAGCATGCTAAAATCACACAGATTAACCACAGAGCATGGCTAATCCTGAAACTTGCATGCACTTGAAAATGCAGCATTTCTGATACCTTCCTAGAAGTACTTCTGGTCACTATGGATTTGATCAGTTTGCTTCAACCACAGCTCAACTTAGAAGAGTATCTTTTACCAACACAGACCACTTCTGTGAGCTGGTATTTGTTAAAGCTATTCAGAGGCATTTATTAGGTATAGGATGCCCCTAAAAGAATATTCTCTTCTGACTGAGGACATCAGGTTACTAAAATTAGCGTGCTTAGCTTGTCTAAAGCATTTAGCCAGAGCTGGGAATTGGAACTGTTCCAAAAACATTCAGGTTTAATTGTTCTGTAGACTACATCTACCATTGCAGCACGCTGCTCTGGTGTAAGGGTGCAGTTGGTACGCAAAAAGAGGTGTACAAATGCAGGAAAGCTTACGTGTATTAATTTCATGGCCACCAGTTTGAAGCCTTTCTGTTCAAACCGCTTGATGATCTCTCCCACCAGACCCCTCTGGACCCCATCAGGCTTGATGGCAATGAAGGTGCGCTCGGTGATAGAAGCCATTGTCCTAATGAGAAAAGGAATAAAAGGTGTTATTCCAGGATCAGCAAGCAAATACAGTCACAGCCCTGTGTCCTGTGTAGCATTAGCTCTCGTTAGAGCTACACTGTCTGCATCTGAAGGTCAGTAACCTGGGATCTGCACTGGTTTGACAGTCACTCACTCTGCGTGGGTTTACACAAGTGATACGCAAGGAAGTTTAAAACGATGACAATGTGCCAAGCCTGCAATTAGCAAGTATTAAACCAGAATGTATGGTAAGGACTGTCAGAGATACAGCTCCAAGTGCTGCCCGGGAGGCTGTCACCTGCGATTTCAGGCAAAGGAGGTTGAATAAGTCCCTATATGTAACTTTGATGTGTAAAGTAATGGGTCAGTTTTGAACACGGTTTTGCTGCATGTGTAGGTAGGGATGTATTAGCTATGTGTGTATAGGTATGTGCGTGTAGGTACCCCCTACCGTAGCGCGGGGAAGCCCTCCCGAGGGGCCCGCAGGGAGGCGGTCAGTGACCGGGCGCAGACCAGCGCTGCCCGCAGCGAGCCCCATCCCACCGGCCCTGTGCCCACCGGCCCTGTGCCCACCGCCCCTGTGCCCACCGCCCGTGTTCCCCCCGCACCGTCCCGCCGCCCGTCTCACCTGCAGCGGGCCCCGGCTGGCTCTGGGGGCCCGGCGCTGCCGCCGCTACCGGCTTAGCCCGGAGCCACCCCCGCCGCAAGCCGGGCCGGCCGGTTGCCATGGTGACAGCGCGGCCTCCCGCCTGCAGGGGGCACCAGGCCGGGCCCCCGCTCCAGCCGCCCGGGTCTGACCGCGCTCCGCAGGCCCGGTGCCTCGGAGCGGTCGGTGCCGGTGCGCGCTGCCGGCTGTCGAGTGCCTCCGGCAGGTACTGAAGGTGCGGGTGCCCGGCAGAGGCGTTTTTAGGCGTTACAGTGTTAGCTGCTGGGTCTCAGGCTTTATTTAAGAGAAGGCACTTACAGTTATGTTAATAAACCCCTGATTTTGCTCTGCTTTCCTTAAGTGTCTGCTTTAAAAAAGGCAGTTGGGTTTGGCTTGTGGTTGGTTTTCTTGTTTGGGGTGTTTTTTTCTGGTTATACTGTATTAGCTCTCCGAGTCAAAAGGCCCTTCAGCAACCTACCAGTCAGTCGTTTTGCCCTGAGCATTTTATTCCCTTCGGAGAGAGCCCAGGATAAAACATCTGGACCCCCAGTTCTTGCATTCACAGCGTGTGCTGCTGGGAGGAAATCTGAGCTGCTCCTGGGTTTGTTTCTCCAAATGGGATGAATTCCCTGGACTCTGCTCCATGTCCCTTCGTGAAAGGAAGATAATGTGGATTTCACTTCCCTCTGGGCAGGACTTACCAG